CCTAATGATTTTAGTAATCCAGAGACCGTTTCTATGGATCAGGCAGCCATGAGACTGACATTTGTGATCCTGAATCAAATGTCTCTACAACATTAGGATGCATTGTCATTAGGTTTGGTACATTAATCCCCCCTCAGGATGAATTTTGATTGTTTTGGTGATCCTCTGACTTTTCGGCCCAATTTTACCATTTAATTTGTGTGCTACTTTGGCTTTACGACCAAATGCAGATGTTTGCTGGTCTGTAAAACTAATAAAGTGCCTGTCATCCTTTGCTGTACTTTGTTTTTACTGCTAATCAACAAATTTTAGCATGCTAACACCTTAAACTGAGATGGTGAACATGATAGACAGTATACCTGCTAAACAGCATGTTAGCATTGTTACTGTTAGTATTTGGCATGCTGATATTATTATATTATTTAGTTCAAAGCACCGCTACCCCAAACAAAGGCGCTAGCATGTCTGGAATTTCTCAATTGTGGGATCAATAAAGGTATGTCTTATCTTATCTTACCTTATCTTATCTTATCTTATCTTATCTAATCTTATCTAATCTTATCTTATGTCTATAGACTCCTCTGTCTGATGTATTATGAACACAGTTTTTTGTACATGAACACCTGCAGACCAAATACCCTAAAGGTTCTGTGGCAGAGACAACATTCAAAACACTAATATAGCAGCAAACCACTTTTAGAGAAATTGATTCATGCCTTTATTTCAAGCCGGCTCGACTACTGTAACACAGTTTTTAGTGGCTTCCCAAAAAATACCACTGAAAGACTTCGGCTATTAACCAGAACCAAGAAGAGAGAGCGCATCAGGCCAGTCTTAGCAGCTCTGCACTGGCTTCCTGTTACATTCTGAATTGATTTTAAGGACCTCCTTGCTTGTATACAAAGCCCTAAATAATAATTTGAGCTTTTCTCTACTTTGTTGTGGTAGGTGGTCCAGCTGTGCATGCATGTTAGTACATGTGGGTCCCTTTTTGTCTATCCCACTGGCGAGCTAAACTCTGCTGCTCTCCACTGTGCTCATACAGCAGTTACAGGTGATTACTGCTGAAAATGTTACAGGCAGTGTCGCAATAGTGTACGTATCCTCCAGTTTTCCCTTAAGTTAACACTGTTAGCTCTGTCAGCACTGTTGTCATTGTTAGTACTGTTCACGCTGTTAGCACTGTTGTCATTGTTAGTACTGTTCACACTGTTAGTACTGTTGCTGCAAGCAACTGTACAGCCACGTTCATGTAGAGAACTGTGTGCAGACAATCCCAGCTCAGACTCTGAATCATAGATATGGTCTGAATGTGGTATTGAGCTCCTTTAAAGCCCATCATTTCTAAAATTGTAGGTTAAATTCTAATATTATCAATGTGGTATGAAAAGTAAATAACCTGGTGCTCCAGTCAAGTGAAACACTTCATAATGTAAAAGGCAAGAGTGACTTAAGCAGCAGATTTAGCAGAGGTATTACGAAGGGACCACAGGTCCATAAGCACTTTTAACCATCAGAGGAGGGCCAAGGATTTACCTCAACAGTGTTTGGGTGGAAAGCTAAGGATATAAATGGGACTAAAAGAAGCCTGGTCGTGCTTAGGGATGTGACGAAGCATCTCTGACCACTTTTAGGGATTAGCAGAGAGTAGAGGTGCTTGTTCCCTAAACCTCTCAACCACAAACAGCAATTATACACCGAGGAGCTGCGTCCCTTACAGGCAGATAGGTCAGTCATGCAGAACTGGTGCAAAATGAGGGATGGTGAGACAGTAGAAATAGGCCATCCCAGAGGGGCCAAGGAGAATATGCTCTACATCAGATCCTCTATTGTTAGCAAAACCTAAAACCCAACTGATCCTCCGCACAGTCTGTCAGCGGGGTTCATCTCATTTTGACACAGCAAATTAACGTTCAATTTAATCATTTTATTATTGCCTCTTGATTGCAAGACTGAAATGTGGCGTGAATTTATGGCTGGATTTTCTCGGGTCTTTCAAATTACTATTACGTTTCTGTAATAGCAAATTAATTGACATGCTTTTCAGACAAAGTGCATCTCAGGACACCATTCTCAGTCTAACGCTGAAGAAGAACAGCTAGTAATAAATGGATAGATGAAGTGTTTGCCTGCACTCAGGAGGCCATTTGTTAATTTTAACAGGGGGGGGTGGTTGGTTTCGTTTGGAAGGATGAACATGTAAGAGTCTGTCCATTCTTGATTAAAAGCTTTGCTGTCTACTGTTCTCTTTTTAGAGCACTCCATGTGAAATTAGTTTTCTCGGCCTCTTCTTTTTCTGCTGTTAACTTGAACTGTTGTCTCACATTACGTGTCTCCTGTGTGTGTATCTCACTGACCTGGGTGCTTATCAGAATACACAGATTTGATTTGACTTGCAACACATGCAGTTGGTCTGTGAGTTTCATAAAGGCTAGAAATGCTGTACTGGTTAAAATGGAAAGTTTTTTCAAAATTCAATTAACATCAATAATTTATCAGTTATAAGTCTGATTCCAGACAGGACGCCACGCCATGTAGGTTTGGACACGGACCGTTGTCCACCTATTAGCACCCTTGAGGTGGGTGGAGAGCGATGACACGTTAAGTGGTGTATTTTGGTCATTTTGCTAACAAGAGTGTACCTCTCGTCCTCCCTCAAATTGCCTACTGCCCGCACTGATACCATGAGAACAATGCGCTGGTGTTTGTGTCCTGTCAGCCTGATGTAAGTGCGTTTAGGGGCAGCATTAAGTAAAGGAATAATGGGGAATGCACTCTGGAGTAGCTAGATATCAACTTCATTAGATGTGATTAGCATTATGGAAGCTCTCTGTAGGAGGGCTCTTTGATGTTTGTGCTGCTCATCTCTTTTTCCTGCTCCTCAGTTAAACCCTATCCCCCCACCCTGCTCTGCTTCTCTCCCTCCTCTGCTCTCATTTCCTCCTCTCTCCCTTTGTCTCCTCCTTGGGGTTGGTTGATTGATTAATGCTCCGATAGGATCCAGACAAGGGTATGGGTTTGAAGGGATTGTGTGTGTGTGTGTGTGTGTGAGTGTGTGTGTGTGGGTCTGGTGCAATGTGTCCGTGCCTTGCTCGTTCTATTTGAAATCACCCGAGGCGGAGACAGTTTAAACTGATTATGCAGCAATCAGGGCCCATGACTCTGTGGATCATTATGGTCACCAGCTTTATACATTTACAACAAGTTGATGCCTCAGACCGTAACATTGTTTGTAGTGTGGTGGAAGACGGAGGGAAATGATAGAGTGAGAGAGGAAAACATTCACCAAGAAAGGAAAGGAAAAAGGAAACATTGTGGTATTTATGATCACGTCCGTAGCGATATTGTTTACATTAACAGTTACTTCAAATGCTTTCATCTGCAGCCAAACAATATTATTACTGCATGTAAAACAGCATAGTGCTGTTAGTCATGTTTTGGACTATTATTTATTTACATATACCCTTTTGCCAACTAAAATTTGCGTGTGTATGCACGTCCTTTAAACGTGGGAAAACACATTATAAAATAGGCAATAGAATGCTTTTCTGTTGCCAGCAGGCTAGAGCTGTGTACACGGCTTTGCGGTACACGAGTATGCCCTTCTGTTTTTTTTTTCAGGTGTGTCCCATTCAAGGCTTGAAAACAGGTTATTTATCAGTAGAACATGCATGAAGGACAGTGAAAATCTTCTTTTTTGTACCTCTTCATTATTGACTCTCCTCCAAAGTTGTTGCAGAATACATTTTGAACAATGTTTGAGTGCTTCTTGGATGGAAACCAAGCGGGTCCAGTAGGGTGATGTATTTCCATCACAGCCGAACAAAGCAGATGGGAGCTGGAGCCAATAAATACCCGTGACTACTGCAGAGTCATTTGTGAATGCTGATGGTAACATTTCCCATTAAGAGCAAAAGCCAGATGGAGTAGTCACAGGTATTTATTGGCTCTGGCTCCATTCACCATTGATAGCAATACAACATCCGGGTGGACGCGCTAATTTTAACCCCTTACCAGTGAGATGCAATGCTGCACCACCACAAAATATAGTCCATCTATATCATAGCAGCCCTTAAACAATGTTCCTATTTGAAAAAGAGACTGAATTAGAGATGTATTAAAAGAAGAAACCACCATAACATTTTCAGTGGTCCTCCATGCTGCTTTCTACTGTTTACTTACCTGTTTTTTGGCCTGTTCAGGACGTTGCATGTGACACACCGTAAAAAAAACAAACAAAAAAAAACCACTTCTGCCTCTGGTGCTTTTAAAAATTGAAAGTACTTTTATATTGCATCAACTTTGCCTCAAGTTTTAGCACTGAGTCACACTTTTGAGGATCATTACATTCTCGTGACTAAAAAATCATGTCAAAATCAATTCTTGTTGATGTGTTCAAATAAGTCTTTTAAACTGTATGCCCCGTTGTATTTTTCTTTTTTTTTGTTTGTTTGTTTTTTGTGCTTTGTTGTACTTTAGGTAACCTTGTGTAACATCTTGGCCAAGGGACTACAGATGAAAAATAGCCTTTTGTCTACTTCTGGCATTTTTATACCAATTGTATTTTATTAAGTTGCACTGTCCCTTCTTAAATAAACTAAACTAAAACTAAGACACTAAAACTAAAAAGAAAGCCATGCTTGTCTGCTGCAGAGCCGTGTACACCACTCTGCTGGCAATGGAAAAGGAGTCTTTAGTTTATTTTAGTGGGTTTTCATGTGTTTAAAATTCTGTGTACACACACTAAGTTTGGTGGAATAGGGGTATTTGATGGCAAACATGGTTAACATCAGCATCCTAGCTTTGCCATTGTGAGCATCTTAGCATGCTGATGGTAGCATTTAGCTCAAAGCACTGTCTCACAGAGTTGTTAGTGTGGCTGTTGATTCCTTGTCCCATTTAAACTGGGATTATGGTACATAAAACTGATCATTTAAAGTAAATGACCATTAATAATACATTAACACATGTCCATTCCTGCATTTTTCCTGTGTTTTCAGAAAAGACCAGCACCTGCTGTCCTCAGTAAACTGTTGGTACCTGATGCTGAACCAGACGAGGCGAGAAAGCCGTGACCACGCCACCCTCAGCGACATCTACACCAACAATGTCATTGTCCGCCTGGCCCAGATCAGTGAGGACATCATCCGTCTGTTCAAGAAGGTCAGTGAGAATATCATCCTCCCCTCTTTGTTTACTCATTCTCTCTTATCACCAGTGCACAAAATGTCACTGAGATGAGTGTTTTCATCTGGTTCTTGTAAACTTTGGGCCTCACTGTCATTCCTTGGAGTTGCCATTAAGTTGAACTTGCAAAGTGCAAGTTGCAGCAGCTAAAATAAAAGCGGCTTCTCTACTTTTTGGCTTCAGTTTGGCCAAAGCAGAGAAACCAGCACACATGGATTTAGTAGAAGGTGTATGAGTAAAGCATGGGGAAAAGTAAAGCTGAGAGCCCCTCGCCCAACACCCTGCAGCCCCAACAAGTGTGATCAACGTCTGGCTCGCTGTCAGCACATAGCAGAGATGACTGAGGTCTTATCCAAACATCATAGCCCTGTTTTCACCTTGCAGGCCTTCCTGTAGGTGAGCTGCACTCTGCTTACTAGGCTCCATTCAGATATAACGGTGTGCATGTGTCAGTGTGTGTGTCTACTTGTGTGGATGCCAGGCCAGTGTTTGTCAGAAACTGTGCCAGTGCTCAAAAAGGAGAAACACTGTCTTTTTTTAAGTCAGGCGCCCTCAGGTAGCTTTTTCTATATTTGAAAGTATGAATGGATGGCTCTGCTGCTGCTGCTGCTGCTGCTGCTTGCTGGCAGACATGTTGGGAGGCAATAAATAATTCATCTAAAACATCATGGAGAAAATTAAAAATGTTAAACTGAAATAAATGGAAGAGCTTTGGATGATTGACTGTTGGACATGACAAGGTGATCAAGGACGAAGAGAACAGCTGTCGACAAAAACTTGATCAAGGGGCTGTTTAGCATATAAATGACAGAGATAATATTACTGATATATTGTGCTTATAATGATGGTAAGTTCCATATGTTATGATGCTGTACATATGGTGATGGCATATGATGCTCTTATCTTCTGTTTCCATGACTCTCAATATAAAGAAATTGCATATTAATACATTAGAAGCAACTGTGCTGCTTTTGCCTTCCATAGAAGGAAGATTTTAACAATGTATACCAACAGGCGTTTCTATAAGGGCTCTTACAATAGGACCCGCCACAGCTCTTACACTGTGTTGCATCACAGTCGTTCACTCGCTGCTTGAACCCTCCCTGCTCTCCCTGAGTCTCTGCAGTACATGCTGCAGTCTGTCTCGTTTCAGAGCCACTGATGCATACAGATGCCATTCACCAGCTGCCGGAGCCCTCTGAGGATATTCCACATTTATCACACTCAGTCCGATGCTTGTTTGAGTAGGACTTAACGCCTGCACTCCAGATACAAACACAGTAAAAACAACAAATCCCTCCTGTATTACTGAGGTTATCATGTTTTGTCTCTTCTGGGTTCATTTCAGTTTAGTGAAGAACTGTTGGAGCAAGATTTGGTTTTATGAGTTTTTTCCCCTCTTTGATGATTAGTTAAGTTTCTGACTCACAGTAGCAAGTTTTTTCAAGCACAGTTATTATAGCTGGGCAGGGCGCGGACAAACATGTTAACTTCAGGGTAGGTGTGGTTTTAAAAAAGTGTGTGTGTGTGTGTGTGTGTGTGCGTTGCAACAATATTTGCCGTGTTGCTGTTCAGTTAGTCATTGTCTTTCAGCACAGCTCCTCCTTGTTGTATTGATCTGACTGAAATAATGATTCATATCTGAATGGAACATCGTGCATCTTGCTGTGTCACGATGATGCACTCTTTTGGGTGGACCAGAATTAGTCAGCTGTTGACGTACGTAAAAGGAGCATCTGATTGCCATTTTTAAAAGCACATGACACACTGCACACTTTCGTATGCAGCATGTGAAGCCTCGGCTATTGATAGCTGTGCACCAACAGCCCACCCATTTAACCTAATTAGCTGCTTACATCAATCTCTAATGACAAGTGTCACTGTTTCATTTATGAACATGGCCCTACTTTTATCGACCTTTGAGGTTTTTTTTTGCTGTCCATCACCTGCAAAGACCCTAAAGAAATCAAATGTCTTGCTCAGCTTTATTCAGAAGTTTCAGAGGTATACTTTGTTTCTGTTGTGGCTATATTTTTTTTACCTCCTGAGACCTGAGCTATTGTTTGGTATGCATTTCTAATTTCTCCTAGCTATTTTGGATTAGTAAGACCTTATAAGTACAACAAACTAAGCATTGTCAGTTAGTAGTTTTGGAGGAAAAAAAGTCCTCATACGGGGACAATGGGTTTATTTTAACTAGTCAAAAGTGTATAATAAAGTATACAGTAGTTTATTTCAATGTCTGGACACAGTTGTGCTAAAACAAAATTGCAAACCAATCAACATATGTTCAGTATTTTGAAATCTAAGGATTAGGGGTCACTGTTGAAGTCTAAAATTGTTCAGAATCATTTATTTCAATGCCCGAACATGGCTGTGCAAAGGCAAAATTGCAAATAATGCAACAAATCTAAAAGCCTTATGATTTTTTGGTTCCTTCCTACTCTCTATGAATTTTCTTTGCTCTATGTGTCTCTCAAGCTCGGACTATCATTTTGTCTGTAGGGACAGTCTGTCACAACTAACTGGCCTGTGTGAAATGCTGCAGTAATACAACTGAGGACAAGTCCCAAAGTCCTCAAATGAGCACTTCCTAATTAACAGCATCTTAGCTTGTTATTATTGCTTTAAATTTGCATGCCATGCCAAACTATACAAATGTTACTGTTAGAACTGTAAAATTTGATCAGTTTTGCACCTTGTTCACTTTTGTTTTGGGATCAGCTGTAGACTTACATATGGCTTAGTGTATTGTTCTTTTGCTGCCAGTAGATGTCACAAAAAAGTGTCCACAAACAACAGGTTTAAGTTAAGCAAGATGAAGTACGGAGTGCAGCAAACCTAAAATGTAATGACATCATATGAGGATGCAGGGTCGCAGGAGGATAAGGTTTGTGACCTTAATGTGGCTCTACTCCCTGACTTATGGTGCAGTCAGGGACACACAGAGTTGTGTGGGGGACAGGAAATAGCATGGGTAGGGTTGTAAACATAAGATGCAGGCGATTGCATGGCTAGCATGCTAACAACAGCAAGTTTGTTAATTATACAGTGTTATACAACATTTGACTGACAGTAACCTTTGTCACTGCATACAGCAAAGACATTAAGCATTATTTTGCCATGCAGTTATGAACTGCAATATAAATGGCATTTCCTGAATGAAAAGTCAGCCCCACCCCCTCTCTCAAAATTCATGAAGACTGGAGCCTTGGTTATTGGCTGTCATGCTGTAGCTGTGGAGACACCCTCAGGCAGACAGAATTGAACAAAAGCCGAACTTTTGCAGGTGTTGACCCACTAACCCCACTGATGGTGGTGGAATTAACTTAGGCTGCTAGAGCTGGATGTAGAGCTCGGGCACAGGGCGTAGCATCATTTCTCTTCATGTATATCCACATTATGATCTTAGGTGAAAAGTCTGATTTACTCTTTATGTTCATAGTTAATAATACAGTCATGTTTTGGCTATACTTTGAGTCAAAACCTACAGTAAATATACACTAAATCACATACACTAAATCAAATTAAAATGGAGAACACACTGTTGTGATATAAATCAAACTGAGCTTTAAGATCCTACCACTACTGTACATGGCAACATTAAAGACAAATTAAGATCATATAAAAGGTTAACTATTCAGGAATGGTCGGTTACTATTTGTTACCACAACATTAAAACTTCCTCCTGACACTGTTCTTACATGGCAAGCTACCGTACTACTGTATTGTAGTAATATTACATTACTTGTCTTGGAAAAGCCGATACTTTAGCAAACTAACTGAGCTGACTTCTGGCTCCGACCTGTCCAACAGAAAACAGGCCAGCTCTGTGTCGGCCTTCATCCCCATCCTCTCCTTCAGTGCTTGCTTGCAAAAGTGAAAGTGAAAGCCAACCTCAGTATCACTCTCATTTTGGAATGATCTTTATCCACTTGGCATTTTGCCTCGTCATGCATTCTTTTGGCATTGTGTTCTATTTTTGTAGCTTACTCTCAGATGCATGCTGTGTACGGTTTGCAACACAATCACCCAAAAAATGTTGCCATTATAAGTTTCTGTAAACGAAGGATATGATATATTGACGTTATTATCAATCAATCAATCAAACTTTATTTATATAGCGCCTTTCATACATCAGTGCAACCCCAAAGCGCTTATGTAGCGGATACATTGAAACTTTACATTTCAACAGTGCTGTGGTTAATCTGTGGTTAGGGTTAGGCTTAAAAAACACTTGTTTGTGGTTAGGAAAATAAATTTTGGCTCAAACTACTCGGTTTTGGGTGCACAATCCCAGCAGGAAACATGGCGATGTCTCAGCAAAAAAACAACTGCTTTTCGGGCACTATCTCCCGCTGGAAAAATGGTGATAGGTGGCTACAAAACACCCACATTTGGTACCCAAAAAAGTACTGAAAACACAACAATGACTTGCTAAATCACAACCAGTTTTGTTGTTTGTTGGCCTCAAACAGTGGTCTGCAGCTTGGCAGGTGTCTCGCCTGGGTGACACACCATCCACCATTCCCTTCACCTCCTGATGCAGAAATGTACAATGCCAACATTTTCTGCTGGCACCTGGTCCCTACAGTCCTGACCTCACCTGTGTGCTGTGCCCAGGAACGTCCCAATCACAGCAGTGTAGGAACAAAATAGGAGAATACCAACAGACAGCAGAGTCACTGCAGATGAATACACCTCACACCCTTCAAGTGGGTTATAAGTGATAATTAAACGGGATTACTTTTGCATGAGTCAGGAAAATCCTGCATAGTATACCTTTAACGTAATGGAAGACTATTTATAGTCACATTTTAGAGAGTCGCTCAACCAGCATCCTATTTGTGATTGTTTTGATGTCGGTTTTTGTATCACCCTTTCTCAAACTTAACGACTTTTTATAGTTCTGTGAAGTTAGAGAAGGTGTTGCTTGTGTTTTTTTGGATGTGTCAGACTGTCCTACTGAGACATGCTGCTGCTGTCGGTGCATTTTCTCACCTCAAAGTCTTGAAATAAAGGCTTTATGCCTCTCTCCCACACAAACAGATGCTATTAGTTTCACTCTATCATTTATTTGTCCCTGCAGTCCGGGTGTGTCCCACGTATTTGATCAGGCATGAGGCATGCTGTGTAGTGAGATGGCTGTGAAAAAGTGCAGGTGCATGTGTTTTAAAAGCTGGGAGAGGAATTAACTGCGCAGCTTTATGAGGTGTTTGTTGAGTCTCCGACAGTTTCTTCCAAACAAAACATATGAAAGTGGCGGCAGAAAGAAATGACGGCTTAAAGGACAACTTCGGTATTTTTCAACCTGGGCTCTATTTCCCCATGTGTATGTGTGCGTATGATTCATAGGTACCACTTGTTCTAAAATTGGTTCAGTATTGAGCCGCGAAACAAGCTAAAACGGTAATGGGGGCAAATGCCTCCCGTATAAAAGTGCTTTTTTTCGCCACTGACCGGTTCAGATCGCCAGTGTTATCTCTGTAGATAGCATATGGTAGCGGCCCTGGGGCAGTGGTGAGTGTGAATGAGTGGAGTCAGCTGTCAGTCAGTGTTGGAGCAGAGAGGCGGAAGGCGTCCCCGCTCGGTATTGTAAATGAGTATGTGTGTGTGTGAAGTGTGTGTTTTTTTGCCACTGACCTGCTCAGATCGCCAGTGCTATCTCTGTAAACAGCATGCTAACTTAGCCTCTCCCTTACCTCTGGGCTGTGTGATGTCACGAGCTTTGCTCCACTGTGTCTGTAGCTCTCTCTACTCGTGGGACAGCCGTTTTCTTGAGGAAGAGGTGTTTCGGGATTGGATGTCTTCTCTTCTTCGGCTGGCAGTAGTCATCTTGGGAGAAGTGAGCACTGCAGACCCGATGGTCTGCAAGGCGCAGTGTCTGGAGAGGAATGTTAGCATCCATTTGTAGCACAACTAGCCACAACTTCAGCATCTCGCCGTCCGACAAAGGCAGCCTATGAAAGCTGTACGGGGTGTAGCGCGACATCCTGTTCTTGCGTTCAGGAAAAAGGCCCGTTTATTTGAGCACTCCAAAAACTCTGGTAACACTCCAGAGGGTAGCACGTAAAAGACTCCGTCCTCTGACTCTTCTAGCGTAACACATCACACACACATACTCATTTACATTACCAAGCGGGGACGCCTTCCGTCTTTCTGCTCCAACACTGACTGACAGCTGACTCCACTCATTCACAGTCACCACTGCCCCAGGACCGCTACAATATGCTATTTACAGAGATAACACTGGTGATCTGAACCGGTCAGTGGCGAAAAAAAACACTTTTATACGGGACACATTTGCCCCCATTGCCGTTTTAGCTCGTTTCGTGGCTCTATACTGAACCAATTTTAGAACGAGTGGTACCCATGAATCATACGCACACATACACATGGGGAAATAGAGCCCAGGTTGAAAAATACCGAAGTTGTCCTTTAAGCAATCTTTTCGTAATTAAGAAGAGATATGAAAGTTGAAATTGGGCTTGTTGTGTCTCTTGATGCATTATTGGTTTTTATTTATCTTTTTGCAGAGCACAGTGAAACATCAATAGACTGTTTTTTTTGTTTGTCAGAGGATGTCACACATTGTCTTCACTTCTTGGCGCTCTTCACACATGCACACATGCACTTCACAAATGCACACACACGCAGGTAATGAATGAGACTGACTTCAGAAGGCACTGCAAAAGTCTAGATGTGAGGTGTGATGTAATGTGCAATAGTCACAGGAAATGTAAATGTGCTTTGCTCAAAGTTTTGTCATTGCTGTTCAACAACCAAGTAGAGAGGTACAGTGAGTGTGTCAAGCTAATTTGCACACAAGACATTCAGAGCCCAACAACACTGTGACTGCTTGTCCAGTGTGCAATAGATTTATGAGCCTAATTAGTGATTTTAAATTTAAGAGTAGCGTCCTCCATATTTTCAGTCCTTTCCTAATGTAGTCTGTTTCATGTTTGGCTGCAGGAAGAGCTGGTGAGATGGAGGAAGTGGGGACATGGCTGTGCTTTAAGACTTTTAAACTTTAGAGAACAAAATTTTGAATTCAGTTAATCTGAGGCAATAGAGCATATATAACAAAAACAAAAATGAACATTCTCAGTCAGGATGTATGAGGCTGTAACACCTATAATACACCAGAAATCAAAATTGTTGGAAGATGAAAGTACTAAATGGACAGGGTTTATGTTTTGGTGAGCATGTAATGGTGCAGTGTGTAGGATTTAGGGTGATATATTGGCAGAAATGGAATATAATATAATAAGTATGTTTTCTTTAGCATGCATTCACCTGAAAATAAGAATTGTCATGTTTCCTCAAAATGACCTCAAAATGAGTCGTTTATATCTACACAGGGAGCAGGTCCTCTTCTACAGAGTCCACCATGTTGCAGCACCATGTTTCTACAGTAGCCTGGAATGGACAAACCAAACACTGGCTGTAAATAGGGCATTCGAGTGTTCTCATTGGCCGCCACAGTTAGCAGCCCCTCTGCAACAAGCCAAACAGCATCATAGAAATGCAGATTTTTTTTAACATGAAACTGCTTCATTCAGTGTAGTTGGCAATTTAAATCACAGAGTACATTTGTTTTGACTCCCTGTGAAAACCTCCTGAACCTCTGGATCTTAAGTTATCAGAAGGTGAGCACACAGTAGCAGGTGCTGATCTAGCAGCCCGTCTCCAACATGCCTCTCAGCACAAGAGAAACACTCATATGTAACGCTGAACTGCTTTATTCAGTGTTTTTACTGGTTAAAATCCCCCAGTCCTTTTGTTTTGGAGAGGAAGCGACCTCTGCAGATAATATGGCTCCTGGTAAACACCTGAACATTGAACACTGAACACTGCTTGAGGACTGTCTTGATTATATGAGACTTAAGAAAAAACACAGGTGCTCTTGAAGGAAAGAGTCAGCACATGGAAAGAAAAAATTAACTGAAGGGAGTCATGCGTGGAGCAGGAACAAATGCAGTTGAATTAAGTTAGAAAGCCTTTATTCAAAGCAAAACGTTTATAAGCTTGATAGGGGGTGTCACCCAATCCTGATTAATAAGCGAATGCAGGTGGGTGACAGCAATGGATTTCAATGAGAGGCCATTTTGAAGGTGACACGGCTCCACAAGTGCTAAGTAAAAGCTTTTCAGCTTAATCAAAGTGCATTGTTTCTGCTCCACACATGAGTGCCCGAAGGTCATTTTTTCTTCCCACTGAGGGAATTTTAAGAGTGAGTTCACACTTGGCACATAGGAGAAGTTTCAGCTGGTTGCAGTCTGCAGTCCTCACAGCTAAATGCCACTAAATCCAATGAATCATACACACCACTCCTTCAAGTGTCAGTCACAGATTTCAGAGGCATCATTTCTTGAACTGTGTTGGGACAAGGGGAAATTCTGATCTGACAGGGGTGTTAGATAAAAAGCCAGGGAGCCATTAGAATTCATCCTCTGATGTCCTTGAATATCTGCACCAAACTTGGTGGCAATCCATCCAATAGCTGTCGAGATACTTCAGTATGACTCACCAAAGTCACAGTGTCAGCATAACTGGCTGAGTTTGTTCCAACAGGTCGCAGCAAACATTATTTGTTGTCTCACCCCGGTTCTTTCTTCTCGCTGTGTTTCAGAGCAAGGACATTGGGATCCAGATGCACGAGGAGCTGGTGAAGGTGACGAATGAACTCTACACTGTAAGTAATACACTGTGTCGCCTACAGATCGATGCCTCACACCTTATCTCAGCACTGAGCTCATCCACTTATTTTTCCTCGCTCTGTCTTTCTGACATTTTATTTCATGTCCTCTCTTTTTTCTGCTATTTTATTGCCTTGCTTTCTTCTTTGTACAGTCTGAACTACTTGTCCTTTCCTCTCTTGAGTAAAAGTGACTTTTCTTTTCAAAGATTTTTACCCACCTGTAAAACCAAGTAAAGCAAAGACTAGTCCCACTGTCACAACCATGCTGGCTCTGTTGAGAACTGCACCTGAGGAATGGAGTTAGTTTAACTCTGTCGTTAGTATCACACTACTGTTATCAGCCCACCTATGCATATTATACACTCAGCTGCCATTTTAATAAGTACAGCTAGCTAAAAACAATGCAGACAAATGCGACATGAAATAAATCCTATCTTTATCAAGGTTTTAATGTGTGTGTGATACAACGTCAGGGTCATTTTGGAGGATGTAGTTTGTCAGGCTTTATTCTTGTTCACTGTTTGTACTTATGCTTGCAAAAAGAGATGCACTCTCATTTGTATAGAACCCACGTAATCATGAGCAAGGAGGCTGTGATCACATGACCTATCCTTGGCTTTCATCCCTAAAATGATGGAAGCAAAAGAGGAAGTAAGGTGAGAAGTCCATTTAAGGGTGGATGGACAGGTCAAACAAACTCAGGACTTTCACCCAGATGATGGGGATTCACTTCCCTTTCATATATTCATTCAGTTTTCATAACTGCTTATCCTGGGGTCACAGGGCCGGCAAGGGGGCTGGTGCCTATCCCAGCTGACATTCGGCATGTGAAGCCAAAAATCAAACTTTGAGTTTTGTAAGTTATGTATGTACATCACATCACGTCCTCACATTATGTGACTATGCCCAGCCATGCCTTTTGTCCTTAACCTACCCTTACCAGTGGGGGCGCTAATTCACAAGATATCATTAATCTATTCATTCATCTCCATAACTGCTTATCCTGTTGAGGGTCGCTGGGAAACTGGAGCCTATCAAAGCAGAGTACACCCTGGACAGGTCACCAGACTATCACAGGGCTGACACATAGAGACAGACAACCATTCACACTCACATTCACACCTACGGACAATTTAGAGTCACCAGTTAACCTGCATGTCTTTGGACTGTGGGAGGAAGCCGGAGTACCCGGAGAAAACCCACACTAAAATGGGGAGAACATGCAAACTCTGCACAGAAGGGCTCCCCCACCCCGTGTTCGAACCAGAAACTCTCTTGCTGTGAAGCAACGATGCTAACCACTGCACCACCGTGCTGCCACATGAAATTAGTGCCATATCATACAAGCTGTTGTATGAGGGCGTGCTGAATTTTTGATGATGTTGAATTTTTTGAGAAGAGAAGCTCACAAGAATGTGCTACATAAAATATTTAAAATTGAAGTTGTCTATTATTATTATTATTATTATTATTATTATTATTTTTATTTTATGTTTTTATTATTATTTATTGTATACCTGCTTGGTTATGATGATGATGAGTGATGATGAGAAGTGAAAGAAAGAGTGGGTCGGTTGAAAATGATGAAATGGAACACTGCGTTTCTCTCCAAGTCAGAAAGTTTCAAATCACTTTCACATCTGGTGGTTCCTTCAGCTCTGGACCTGTGCAGGAGTCACATCACTGGTTGTCTCTGTGACATACCTGCCTGTCTCTATACATGACTGTATCATTCATTAGAGTGTGTTTGCATCATGTTTATAGAGATGTAAAGAACTTTTGAATGATAAGCAGATTACATAATGTGTATCCTGTTTCTTTAACAATGAACTCACTCTTTATTTAAGGCCACCTGCTCCAGTTTAGTTGCTTTGTAGTATCTGATGTCAGCACTTTGTTGTGTTTTCTTTTTATAGTCAGTTTCTGTACTGCCACAGTAGATTCTCTTCATCTTTGTTTTTGTCATTGATTGTCCATATTGTTCACTTCTCTAAAAAACACATTTTGTTTTCGCTCAGCTTCTGCACAACAGTCCAAATTCCTTTTTTTTTTGTTGTTTTTCCTTTGTTTGTCAGCAACCAACTATTGTGCATCCTGCAGCTGCTTCCCATACGTCAAATATATATTTTTTAAAAAGGTGCTGAATGGTTGTATGGATGGATGTTTCCTGCTGTATCTCATAGCCACACTTGCTTGATACAAATTGTTTTATTTATTAGCAGTTATTAAATAACCACAAAACAACCCAATTTATTCACCTTGCTGTCAAACTTGTGGCAAACCGCGCAATACATAGTTGATGTGCATAGTTTGCCCACATCCGCTAACACCACCAAACTAAACTCCTGTTTCCAGGATAACTGAAATGCTTGCTTGTGCTTTAGTTCGATCACTTGACCTGCCATTATTTTCTCATGAGTGCCTGATCAGTACTGTGCATGTGCAACTCTCAACAGAGATGAGACTACTTAGCTACTTCTGTCGTCAGCTCCAGAAAAATGTGATTCATTCTTTTTTTACCACTCCCCCCACTGAACAAGTGAGTTGCTAGGCGTGGCATATTATGTGCCCCAAACAATTGGGCAATACTTAATACTTTCAAATTACCACTGTTGTATGTGCAATTTCTTTTTTTTTTTTACCTTTTTCTTCACTGTTATATTTTATCTGTTCTTTAATAACTGGTAAGAACCAAGGTGTTATTAATGGGATTCCCTGCAGGAAACCCTGCAGACAGATGAACGTATGTCAGGGATTAGGACACACTGTACTGGAGCTGCACTCTGGGGCGAGTTCTTAGGGAGGGAGGCTTAGTGCCCAAAAACTGGACAATCTCCAGGCAACTTCAGCAATCTTCTGTCCCCTGGGGTGAATCAGAAGAGATGGCAGAGCGGCCTTATATGACTTATTCATCTGTGCAATGTGACGAGAGTCGAACTACCAAAAGGCAGTGCTGGCTACTCTCCCTGATCTTGCCATCTGTACATTTGGATGCTGCAGTGGATCAGTGTTGTGGAGTGGAGCAAGGGATTATCAGAAGTGCATGTATGTTTATTACATTCATATGGGACTGTGTAACTGGTCAGATATCTTCAAAGACAGACCAAGGTTGCTATACTCTACACTTCATGTCTTTATGTCAATAGATTAAAATTAGTTATTGTTTTTAAAGGTTCTGCCAGCCTAATATTTCCAGTTTGGTTTCCAGTGTCAGGGTGTATTTCAGGTTTATTGAAACACATGGAAACATGTCATCATCCCATACCTTTATACTTTTTTACTATATATCTGTTTCACCCATTCTCCCCCTCTCTGGCCGGGGACGATGCTGCATAATAAAACTCAGATGGTCCCTCCTCTCATGCTCCACTTGGCCTCAGCTCCAGTCTGGCTGAAAATTAAAAATCCAAATGTTGACGTATAGCCTTGTTCTTTCCGAATACGAGGATTGTGGGAGTTGTGTGAACCTTCACAGCTAAGGTGGAAAATTGATTATTGCTGTGACAACTAAAATATCACTCCCTATAAAATGAATGATATCATGCTAGACAATAAAACATATATTTTCACACATAGCAATTGTTTTCTCACTCTAGCCATCCATCGCAACGTGACCGTAGTTGAAGGAGTGCCCTGTTTCGATACTTCTTCACATGGTTCCCTTCTTTTTCTTCTTTAATGACTTTTGTGCTTATTAATCTTAGCAAAGGGTCTCGGGATGGAATATTATATTTATTGTTGTCATAATGCTGCCATTGTACAGCTCCTCGGGACCAAGTGTAATTAAAAACAAATGAAGCTGACTTGGCGTTACTTATATGAAAGGATTTTCCCAGTTGCCATCTTAACCTGTGACAAAGTTTGACAATGCACAGGCAGGCATAGAAGTTATTTCACAAGTAACCCCTCAGGCAGCAGTAACACTGTCTGTTAGAAGAAGAAAAAAAAGCGTTGTTTTTCATGAGTGCACCCTTGTTAGTATTTGATTGTACAGAAATAGTTAAATCAATAGCGTGGCCACATGGTGATTGCCTTGTGGTATTTTGTAACAGTTTTCACTGGCTGCCAACAAAACAAATTTTGCTGAAAGAAAACTGTGAAATCCCATTTGGATCGCTGGCTGCTCAGTGAGAGGTAGGACTGTGGGCTGGAGCTATTGTTCAGATATTGTTTTAAGTATGGTGCTGCAGCAGGAGTATTACTGAGAGGGCGGATCCTGTTGTTGTTGTTGTTGTCATTAATAACCAACTTGAAATGAGAAATGGGAGCAAAAGACAGGATGAGTGAAAAGACAGACACTTCCTGCTTTCAGCAGCATAGCTATGTGAAATTCAGTTTTCTTAGCTTTGAACCTGTTTTAATTTCCTGCCGCAGCAACTTAATATCCCCACTGGGATCAATAAAGCTTATCTTATCTTTCTGATCCACCACCTTGTGTCTGATGTCTGCTCTTCACTCTCATGCACGGTTATTCCTTTGTTTAACAGCACCACAGTCTCTCTCAGGCCTGTGTTCAGGTTCCATTCATTCACTCATTAACTTGTTCGTAGTTCATTCATTGTTTTCTCAGCAGTGTTTAACAACCTGAACTCACAGATTGTTAGTGCTGACAAGAAATATAAAAATATCACAGGTGCTGCATATTTGGGGAAAAAACATCAGCATTGATGTATTGGATTTTTATATTTCAGTTTTCATTTAACAGATATCTAATTTATTTTGTGCATGGCTGGTCTATTTTAACCTTCTTAAAAATATCCATAATATTATTTGGTCTATATAAACTATTTTCATACCTAATCAAGTTGCTCTTGCATCTTACAGGTTTACTATACAGGATTTTTCTTAAAAACGATATATAGACTTGTAAGAGCTAAATCTATTACTTGAAGCTACTGACCTGGTCTGACTTGGCTGGTTCTCCTGCTTTAGTCTGATGCCATATGCTACCTTTCATTGTGTGTTGCGTTCAGTGAAGGATCTGCAGGCTTCAGTTGCGGATTAACTGTCCTCTTTATTCGTTCCACCATGAATGAAGATATAATAAATATATTCTTTTTCATTTCCATCAATAAACCAAACCACAGCTTACAGTGTAGCAAACAAATCGCTGGCTCCACAGCAGTCAAAAACCCTTTGCCCTTCCAGGTCAAACACCTGACAGCAACAGTGACCTTCCTTATATATAGCTGAGCCATGATACCAGCACAGTGACACTTAATGTACACACAGTAAATAACTATTTATGTCTTAGTAGTTAAAGGTATACTATGTAGAATTGTTGGTTACAACTTTTAAACATGCTTGGCAGCTAAAGTGAAGGTAAAAGCTAAGTTACTATCTTTTTAGAAAGGCCTGGCCTCACCTGAGTGCTGTGGGAGAACACGCCCATAAACGTCCTGAACACAGATAAGTTAAAGAAAATAAGAAAATTCAGGGCAGAGTCTGGTGCAGTGGTTAGCATTGTCGCCTCACAGCAAGAGGGTTACTGGTTGGAACCCCAGGGTAAGGGAACCCTACGGTGCGGAGTTCTCATGTTCTCCCTGCGTGAACGTGGTTTTTTTCTGGGTACTCCGGCTTCCTCCCACAGTCCAAAGACATGCAGGTTAGGTTATTTGGTGACTCTAAAGAAAAATCTTGTATAGTATATCTTTAAATAACATATGTGGTTTTTTTTAAAATATTCATACAGACATCATCCCTCTCGATCACCACTAGAAGTGTGTGGCGGTGTATTTATTTGTAGACACTCCACCCTCTGCCTGCAGTTTTTTATTTTCTTAATATTTTTGGGTAGGGAAGCTCCTGGGCACACGTGATGAGGTTGAGGTTGGGACTTTATAAGATGATAGCAACCAGGTGCCAAACTGTAAGCAGCACACATCCAACAGGAAGCTGCAAAAGTGGTGGACACAATGCTGAAAATATAGAGAGGCAAAACACCAATCAGACAATGCTTTAGTCGGCTTTCACTTCCACTTACAGTTCTGTTAACAAACAGTGGCTAACCCTGCAAAGTTTACCTGTAATGTACTTTTTTTTACCTAGTTGTTTTCATCCACTGCTATAATAAAGATGACATCATACTTTCTTGAGATTTTTTTATTTCCTCATATTTTATGTCCTCTCCCATGTGTCATCCACCATATCTTAAAGATGAAGTAATGGTCCCCAGTCAAATCCCTAAACGTATGTAGAACACAAGTATCTGCATCTCGCCTTCATTATAAAAACCTCTTATTCTCTCACTGCTGGGTTTCTTTCACTGGCTCAGAGACTGCAGGAGTTAAATAGCCCTGGGCTGTCGTCAGATGACTCAACTATATACACACCTCCTGTAGACACAGCTGAAGCTCAGTCTTCCTGCAAATTAGTTTGTGTCTTTAGCTGCAGGTCCTGCAGTCAGATGGTTCAAAGTTGGCTGGAAATGCAGTGCGTTTTCACAGGAATCTGAAAGAAACGGTTTGACAGCCTGGGGAGGAATAGAGCATTAGCCTAGTTTCTCTCTTCCTGGAGTAGCAGCAGCATCGATGTCGAGCTTTGTCACTCCGAGAATACACTTGTGGCTTTTATTCCATGTATTTATTTTACTTTCAGGTGTTTGCCTCGCAGCTTTTTGTCACTCTGTTGTTCTTGTTTTTCCAAGAGTTCCTACACTGCCTGGAGAGGAGTAGTATTTATTCACACAGCACACAGAGGGGAATAAATAGAGCCCTTTCAAGTGGCAGCACTGGTAAATATTACTGTCACAGGGTTGGAGGTCAGTGGAATATCATGGTTGCGAGTGACCCAACGGCAAACATGTGATTTTGATGAGTAGCTCTCCCAAAGATTAAAGAACCCCTGCTGCTTAAGTCCAGCACCAAGTGAGCATTACTTGCTTGATCACAGGAAACACATAAATTACTGTTTATGTTGACTGGGTAACTTCCTGAGGTGTTCGTAGAAAATGCTGAAGACGTTTGAAGATGCAGCTCACATCTGGACGTTCTTTTATGAGGCTGAGGAGTGGGCTTCCAGGAGGAGAGACTCTCTCAATGAGCATCTGGGGCGAGTTTAAGACACAGGATGCTTCTGTCTTGTCTAACGAGGGTTTTCTGTCACTACAGTCTTGTCATCACCATGTTTGACTGGGGCGTGGGGTGTCTGAGTGTCAAAAGTTTGAACGTCTAAGTAGAGATCAAAGAGAAGAGGTAACTGCAGAGAGCACGGAGAACAATGCCGTCACTCTGCTACACAAAAGGGCTGAATATGAACAAAGTCTGGGGTGATCAGGAATTACTGTAGAAAATGTAAAGGCTGGGAAAGTGACAGTGAAGAGGTTGTGAGGGGGTGAGTTGAGGATTTGACAGCCAAGACGAAACCACACACAACCCCGGGCCCCTGGATTCGCTTAAAATATTCCACATGCAGTGACATCTGTGTTACCGCTGCATTGACGCCCAAATTGATCCACCAGGCCACCATGAAACAGCTCAGATCAAACCAGATTTTGGAAGGAAATGACACAGAGGACCTTGAAAAATGTGATATTTCCTTTTCATCTTTTTATTGTTGGTTGCATATTGGAGGGAATGTGGCAATATCAAGACCACAGCAGTGCTATTGTAAGTCAGTGTTCAGGTGTGGGTGGTTGTGAATGGGTAAATAAGCACAAAAGCACAAACATGTCTTTGTGGTGTGCTTTTTCAGTTGTTGGCCCACAGTGAAGGTTGTTAAACTATCTTTATCACTTCTCAAGTTGATCCACCTTGAAGTTTCTATTAGTGGTGCCAATGTCAGTTGTCAAACTGAATTAAGGATTGTTTATATGTCCTTTTACAACTCACAGCAATGGGCTCCACTACATATGTAAGGCTGGCTGACCAAAAATACCAATGAAGCCTTTTAGCTGTAGACAGACAGGAACTCTGTCTTCAATTTGCTTCTTCAATCTGAACTACTGCCCAAATCCAAATATATTTAATTTACTGTCATATATGACAAAGACAAGCAGCAGATCCTCACATTTGAGGAGCAGGAACTGGAGAATGTTCGGCATTTTTGCTTTGAAATGAGCAATCAATCATCAAAATAGTTGCTGTTGATTGACTTAACAATGATCCACCTTATTGTTGCAGCCCTAATTTTATATAAAGCATTCATATAAACCCTTCTCATCTGTTTCAATAGCCCCTTTTACACTGCCAGATTTCCTGCGAATGTTGGGCCGTTTTGCCAGTAAGCTGCGAGCGTTTAGACACACAGAGCCGGATTGATGAGTTGATCCAAGGTGCCCAATTGTCATATTGGTGGAACCCTTTTAATTTAAACAGACCGAGGCTGCCTTCCGCAACGGGAGTGGCTGTTGAAGACTTGTGGGAGGAGCTGTTGATGACGCCGCACGTGCGAGCCCTGGCGGTGGTAAACAGGAAACAGCTGATAGCAGGAATTAGCGAGCACCTAGTAGCAAGAGGGAAACACAAACCTGACAGACACTGTAAAGATGAGCAACTGGAGAAACAAGGAATTGCGCGCCCTCCTTGTCCTCGCAAACGAAGAGGCCATTAACCATCAGATGATGGGGATGGTTTACGAGAGAATCGCCGAAAAACTGACTAGCTGCGGCTTCCCTCCCACGTCACTGTTTACGTTACACGCTGAGCTACACATTTTGTTACTTGTTCACGCCCCCCATTGCCCTGAAAAAGGCGCATTCTGTATAAACAAAAGTAAGTAGGCAGCATTTTGCCGCACTCCCCGATTTTGTTTTTATACTGCCAATGCTGAAAAAAGACTGATTGGGCTTTCCTGCAAATTTGCACAATTCCTATCTAAAAAGGGCTAATGTGACACACCAAGCAACTGTTGCCCTTGTATTTTCTCAGTCTGAGGGCTACTGAATGTAGTGTTGTTAAAACCAGGGTAACCCCTGATACGTCACTTTTTCCTAACATCATTAGCATCTTTAAACCTTGTCAATTCAACCTATCATAAAAAAATACTGTAAAATGTGATGATAAGCCCCTTCAATCAACAATGTGTTGAAATCCTGTCATGCTCCTCCTGCAGGTGATGAAAACATACCACATGTACCACACTGAAAGCATCAGCGCAGAGAGCAAGCTGAAGGATGCAGAGAAGCAGGAGGAGAAGCAGTTCAGCAAGTCCGGAGATCTTAACGTGAACCTCCTGCGCCACGAGGACCGCCAGCCGAGACGCGGCTTCGTCAGGAAGATTGAGAAGATGAAAGAGAAGGTGAGTATGAGGGATGGATAGTGTTGTGTTTGTTTACGAGTATATAAAGCGTCATTCATCTTCATGCATGGAGGCTTCTTGCTAAAATATTTTTGTAATAACAATACTTTAAATTTCTTTGTGCATTGTGAAAGGGGTCGTTCATAGTGAGGAGTAAACCTGCAGTTCCTCTGAACTCTACTGAGCTTTGTCGCTCCTTTTAGCCTATTTTTTGGGGAGTTTCAGGTCCACTCTCACCGCTCTCATAACCTCATTATTTGTCACAGCAAGCAGCCGTATTGATAAACCCACTGTACACTACCCCCAGCAACAACAGCAGACAAAGTTAGCGACTAGCTAGTGCACACAGTGGTACTTTTAGCAGCCAGAATCAGATACTTCCCTCAGGAGTTCGTAAAGAACAAGACAAAAGAAGAGTGAATATTGGATTTATAGTCTCCAGGGGGCCAGAGATTTGACTCCCAATGAATGATAATGTTTGTCGGATGTTTAAAGTTCACCATATCTACTGAAAAGATGGCAATATGTAAGTAATGTTCACAGTTACTGCAGGTTAAGCAGATTCTTTTCAAAGCTGAATAAGGAGGTTTGAGTCTAGCTCTGTAACTGGAGAGCCAGCTCGATTTGTTGGGTTCACTTAAAGATAGAGTGAGGGAGGGGTAGACCAGCAGCACACAGTAATATAATGCCAGAAGGACTCAGGAGAGGACTGTAGGTCTGCAGCCAGATCCGCACTGAGCAACAGCAGTACTCCCAGCCAACAACCTGACTCTCTTTCCATCTTATGCAGATTTCTACTTTGTGTAAATTCTTCCCTGCCAGCAGTGTAGGGCCGGGGGTCTCTGGAGCACCATGTACTTTAGATGCACCCATGCATTTTTTATTCTGGATCTTCTACTGGAATTTTCTTGATGCAAATGAAACTCCCATTATCTCTCAGGTGCAGGAAATCAAAAGGCTGTCAGGACGACAGCGTGTCTCCCTCCTCGGGCTGGTATCCTCAGAGATGCAGCTTGGCTTGGGAACTGAACACTATTTATAACGGAGCGTGGCAGCGAATGTTTTTCCCTGCTTCTTGTTTCTGAGCTTTTGTCTCATTACTCTGCCTGCAAACAGGTTGGAGGAGGAAGAAGAAGAAATAAAAGTTAATCTCTTTTGCTTGAACCCACTGCTGAAATTTGCATCATAATGGCTTTGTGAAAGTGGAAATAACACGTCCGTGTATGGTGAAATGTACAAACAAACTATTCAAATAATGAGCGAAATAACGCTTTAGAATTATGATGCTTTTGTTGTTCTTTTCTGAGTCGTGTCTGAATCATTGGGTTGCTAAAATGAAAATGCTTTGTCAATACTGTTAAGCGCCAGTTTGTAAAATCAATGTGTTGGGTTTTTGTGTCACTTGCTTTAAACTGTTGTTCTTTTTTTTTATATTCTTTAGCACTAAGTGGATTTGCATGCATTTGTCTGTATTCACACTGGAGATACAGGCCCACAGATAACTTACAATGTTAGCTAAAATACAGTAATTCTTTACAGTGGAAGTACTGCCTATTTATGCTACACTACAAACAACAGTTGCAGGACAAGGCACTAAACATCTATTCTGCGCTCAGCTCTGCATATTGGGCTTTTTTTCTGAGCGCTGAGAGTTTATAAATGTTTAACTTCGGGTTAAACCCAGCCTTCATCACTGTCACTTTTTATATAGCCATTTAATCCCAGTGGAGGAGTGGCAGGACAAATATTGTACCACAAATACCAACTGTCACATGCTATATGTACAAGTGCTGAGTGACAACAACAGTGGAAGTGAAATATGTCAATATACTAGTTATACATTGTTTCCTCTCATGAGCCCACATAGAGCGGCAGGTCCGTCCTTTCTCCCTACATGCTTCAACCGTCCGTTAATCCAGTGCAAGTCTACCTTGTGCCGTTTTACTTCCATCCACGGATATTCTGTATCATAGCAACCAGAGGCAACCAAAGCATCTCAGCTGCAAAAACACTGTTAGCGCTCCCAGCTGGGCGTTTCGTGAGAAGCGCCTAGCATTTTCAACCAGGAGAAAACACTTTAGTGGACATGGGGACCAAGGTTTCTAATGTGCAGTTTGTATCAATACTTTTAGAACTGGGAACAGAACTCCCTCTGCACAGCCAGGTTCAAGGATCAGGTGCTGGTCGGTCATGTGACCCATGTATATTTAGCACACCTGTGAGTGCTCATGTGATTCTGTTGAGCGACCCTAAGGAGGCCACACGATGTACGCTTTTACAGTTCATTGTGCAGTGGTTCATGTTGATGATTTTAACATTTTTTAAATGTATTTTAAAGGAATAGTTTGAAAATTTGGGAAATTTGCTATTTTGCTTTTTTGCTTAGAGTTAGATGAGAAAATAGACACCACTTTCATGTATGTACATTAAATATCTAGCAGAGGTCAGCAGCTGGTTAGCACAGTTTAGCATAAAGACTGGAAACGAGGAAACAATTAGCCTGGCTCTGTCCAGAGGTAATAAAATCTGTCTAGTTGTTGTTTTTACACAAATAAGACAAACGAGACACAATGTGTTAATTCATGAACTTAGGGGTGCTGGTTGTTGGATTTTGTTACAGTTAAACAGAGCCAGGCTAGCTGTTTACCCTGTTTCCAGTCTCTATGTTAAGCTAAGCTGAGCTAAGCTAAGCTAACTGGCTACATGCCCAAGCTTCATATTTTCTGTGCAGACTCGATCTTCTCATTTAACTTTGTGCAAGAAAGTGAATAAAATGTCAAAGTATTCCTTTAATGCTACATTTCATCAGGCCAGTGAAACCTTTATTTCAACAAATTTCAAAATTACACAACTTGCTAAAGCCAGAGCTTCTGTAAGTGCTTCTGTGTGAGTGTCGTCCACACTCTGGGGCCTCTGGTACTTAAGTGTTTAGAGCCTGGCTGTGGCACTTAACACGTTACTATCTAGAGGCAGCTTCTCTACAGCCTGTTTGCCCAAACTTTTCCCCGCCATCTCTACCTGCCTGACGGTCCCAGAGCCACAGCTGCCTGAGCAAACACTCAAACCCTCCCTACTGCTTGATTTGCCTGCACTGATGGTTTTTCTCTTCATCTGCTGTCTCCTCTCTTCTCCCCAGAGGCAAGCCAAGTACTCCGAGAATAAGCTGAAATGCACAAAAGCCCGGAACGACTATTTGTTGAACCTGGCGGCAACAAATGCAGTTGTGGCAAAATATTACATCCATGACGTCTCTGATATGATTGATGTAAGTATGCGCGAGGCACGTGTTTGTTTACATCTCTCAGCTGGGATTTCTGATGTTGATTTAACTCTGCTGCACTGTCGCTTTTCTCACCATCTGTTCCCGAGTCTCATTCACCCTCAGCCTGTTAGCTGTTTGTTTTCAAGCTGCTCTGTCGGCCCCAATGACTGTATTTGCCATCATTTTTTTTTCATTATTAATTTCTGCACAACAAACTTAACACTGATGTGCTAATGACTGACTGCTGTTGACATGAGTATTAGTCGGCAGTCTGCAATATCACGCAGCTACAGGAGGATATTTTTGATGGATTATTTTAAGGGAGCTTTGCTGGGACAAACACAGCATGTCCTTGTGTATTATCTGTCTCTAACTGTCACCATGTAAAAAACATTACCCAAGATACGCACTCACTCTCTTTCTATTGTCTATTGTCTCTTTGTGATCTCTCTCTTTATGAATCAGAGCAGAGGAAGCAGCCTTTGTAACTCTGACTATAATATTCCCTTCATAATTACCCAAAGTAATATCCTGATTTTGATTGTCTAGAAAATCCTACATCCAACACTTGAATATGAAGCACTTGTATTCAAATTATGAACCAGTAACACTGCTGGGAAGTCTGATTGGCTCTGTTTAAAAGGATGACTTTGTTTAGCGAACCGCTAATGGTTGGAAGTTGATCAAAGTCAGCTGGTGAGCAGAGGCTCTGTTTATGCAGGCATGAATGCGATCAGTGTGGTTGGCACCAGGCTCCCAGCCCCGGGTGACCTGCTACCAGTCACTGTGCAGATGAACACTGAGATGAGGAAACCTTTATTGACCATTTCAGACAAAAACATTCAACACAGTCTGTATCTGTTTCTTTTAGATATGCACACATACAGTTCACTCTTCAGGGAGGCAAAACTTTGCTTTCTAATCTGTCATTAGCCATTTCGTAGTCTGTTTTTCTGTCCACTTCCACTGTTAAACGATGCACACACAAAGCCGGCACAAAGTGGCACCCACTACTGACTGTTTTTTTCCCTTCCAGTAAAGTTTGTTCCTTATTTTCATTGAAGGTTTGAGTTTCAGTCTGTGTTATTTAGATTAGGTAGTTGTGCTAGCTTGTTAGGTCTTTCCAAAATTATATTTAGCATGTCTTTTTTCTTGTAGCCAGTCATTTTGTTGATGAGCATAAACCAAGGTTGATTCATTCCCCTTGAAGTCATACTTTGTTATGAAGGCCTGTGTTGCAGAGTTTTGGTAAAAAATGGCAGTGAGTGTGGGCTTTGTGGCTGTCGGTACAAAACAAAAAACTTAAATATTATAGATGAAGATTTCTTACACAAAGGTAAACCTGTCAGCCCTTCAATATGTCTGTGTTTCCCTCTTCTCTCTATGCTAATGACCTGGTTGTCACATTTTTGCTGGAGGCCAGACCACCATACGGCACCACATTAGTCACAGTGATAGATGCACATTTTCCAGGTCAGGCATGATAAGATGTAATTTCAGTGAGACTTCCATAATATACTGAGCATTACATTATTTTAAACTAGAAGGGCACTCGGAGAGCGCAGATCTCTGCCAAGGCCAAATTCCCTGTCTTGCTATGTGGGTTGGTAGCTAGACATACTGAGACCCTGATTCATGGCTATCCCTGCCTCTTTGCTGGGCAGCTTTGGTGGATCCAGTGTCTCCAAATGGAAAGGTCCTTGTCGTCCCAAATCCTGCTGAGCTCCAGGGAATGGGATTGTGAGCTTGACTGGTTTGGCTGCCACAAGCGGGGCAGCGGAGGAAAAAAAGGGTCCGATTGTCACGTCAGAGTAACTGCTCACCACACATCAAACCAGATGCACACGCAGCAAGAAGGCAGCTTTGTCAGTCAGCATCAGTGACTTTAAACACTCAAAGTGTAATTCAGAGCAACGTGTTGAGTTTATTCTACGCTGCCTAGAACTGATGAACGCTGTGAGAATACAGTAAGGCAAGGCTGGTTTTGCATACAATATATCTATCTAGCATAATAAACATAATGCATGCAAAACCACCACTCTAAATAAAAGTGGTGTTGAAAGTACTCAAGCGCAGTTCTTAAAGGGGAACCTGTTTACTGTAGGTGCTATATAGCACCCCCGTTTTGTAAAGGTACTTTACAGTGCCTTTGTCAAATAGTGGAACCATTAGTTTGCCATACAGCACTATACTGTTTTTACATTTTTGAACCTGGGGACCCTTGAATGAGGCCAGATAATACAGATACAAGTCATTGTGCTTCTAAATGAATGTTTTATTCAAAATATGAACCATCATTAATCAATTCTGATGAAATGTTGGCTTAAAAAATAAAGAATCCTGTACTAAATGCTCACTGAGAAACACAGTATGTTACTGTTACTGTGCACACTGGGGTAAAAGATTGAGAGCCACTGCTTCAACATGTCATCACTGTTTGTGGACTATGTAGTTTAGTTTACTTTAGTTTAGTTTAGTTTAGTTTAGTTTGGTTTACTGGGGCAAAAAAAAACAGAATCATAAAGGGGCTTAAAAAGTTCTTTATATGGCAGCGGTGCTATACAGAACCTCAACCTACACCAAAGAACCACTGAGGAACCACATTTTCCTGCCTGCAGCGTTTACATGCAGCTAACAGCAACTGTCCCTTGTCTACAGTCAAGTATAGTGGTGGCAGCATCATGGTTTGGGGCTGCATGAGTGCTGCCGGCTCTGGGGAGCTCGGTTCATTTAGGGAAACATGAATTCCAAGCAGAGCATGATCGCCCCTCTTCAGAAACTGAGCTGCAATGCAGTTTTCCAACATGATAATGACCCAGAACACACCTAGAAGATGACAACTGCCTTGCTGAGGAAGCTGAAGGTGAAGGTGATGGACTGGCCAAGTATGTATCCAGCCCTAAACTCAGCTGTGCACCTGTGGGGCATCCTCAAGCTGAAGGTGGAGGAGCACAAGGTGTCTTCACATCCATCTGCTCCATGATGTCATCATGGAGGAGTGGGAGAGGATTTCTGAAGCAACCTGTGAGCTCTGGTGAATTCCATGCCCAAAAGGGTTAAGGCAGTGCTAGATAATAATGGTTGGCACACAAAATATTGACACTAGGCACAATTTGGACATGTTCACTGTGGGGTGTACTCACTTATGTTGCCAGCTGTTTAGATTTTGATGGCTGTGTTTTGAGTAATTTTCAGAGGAAGGTAAATCTATACTATTATACAAGCTGTACACTGACTACTTTAAGTTACATCAAAGTGTCATTTCTATAGCATTGTCCCATGACAAGATAGAATGAAATATTTGCAAAAATGGGAGGGGTGTACTCACTTATGTGAGATACTGTAAATGCAGCCTATGTAACCATGAACATATTTAGAATAAAATGACTGGCATATGGAATAAATGGAAAATATTTGCAAATATTAATATGCAGCATATATGCACCCACAATATGTTTACATGAATTTAATTTTGTAATGTACTGTCATGTCCTTTTTGTGGAGAAAATTGACCAAGTGTCCACTGCAAGAGACATGTTACTAAAAAATGTAAAAATAACATTTTTTAAGAAACAGATCTTTGTGATTTGTCTCTTACGTCCAATTTACATAAATTACAGTGAAAAAAAATCTAATATTAAAATCTTTTTTTCTGCGGGTCTCAGGAGGATATGCATCTTCTGTATGTTTGCACAGCTCTAATGAGAAAGATGAGAGTATAAAAAACAAAGTGGTCAACAGTATTTGGATTAAAGAGCGTGTCTAATCTTCCCTCCCCGATCATCTGCTTCCTTCAGGCTGCTGCCGCCGCTGCCGCTGCAGATATGAATGTGTTCTCAGTTTGCTTGTTTAAAAAGGAGCTAATTTGCTCCCTTTAGTCTTGTGTGTATTGAACCACTTTGACTGAGTTGTGCAATGAGGCTTGTGCGCCCAAGTAGAAAGACAACTTCCTCAGTGTTAAAGAGTGTTAAAGAGCGTTTACTTAGTGATTCACAGAGCTGTCAGCTGCCTCAAGCTCCCTCTAAACCTCCTCACTACCATTCTCTGCTTAATTAGGTTACTTCATCCAGCTCTGTATGATAAGGCTCTGTAATTATCCCCGGTGTCCTACTGTGCTAGCTCCTTGTAATTCTGTGAACTCTACTTCTATTTTTGAAAGGTAACCTGTGGCGGGATGTAATTTGGGATTTAGTCCATTAAATAGGTCTGAACATGATGGAAGGTGCTCAAACTAACTGACTTTATACTTAAAATGTGCATATTTCCTCCACTTTTCCTGATGAATTTATTTTGATATGTCAAATTAAAGAGCAGTTAAAAATCTTTTGCTAGCTTCTAGTACCCTAAGTTCCTACGTTGCTGCAGTGATGTAGAAGTTTACATCAGGTTGTGGTCAGTACACCACGATGTCACTGTTGGGTGTGTTTACAGGCACAACGGAGCACACTTATGGTGCACTCCATTTGCACTTGGTCAGAAATGTTGGCTTAAATACCCCCTGAAGTCGGATTTCCAACCCAGAAAATCGGAGGAACCTCACCAACCCTGACCTCAAAATCCAATATGGCTGCTGTGTGCATTAACAGTAGTGAAAACTGCAGTAATTAACAGTTTATTAGCATTGGTGTCCAGCTGCTCTCCATGGAAATGTTGGTCTGGTTTTTGTATGCACAAAATACAGTGTAATGCGTCATTATCAACTGGTATTGCAAACAATGGCTACCCTGGCCAGAACTGTTGTTAACAATAACATCTTGGTTTTCTGACTTGTGCTGGAATATGATCAACTCGGGTGTCACGTCATTCCCAGCTCTGACCTCAAACCTCTGACCTTCAGGGTAAATGGAACGCAGCATCAGGTCCAAAACAGACGTGAAACTTTTAACCAGAAAGGGCAGTAAAATGTTGTTTGTCAGCGTGGTGTTATATTATTCTTAATTATTTCAGATTTGATTTTGCAGTTTCATCTATTGACACGTTTACAGAATGTTTAGCTTGTTATTTACCTGATATTTTATCTCTGCAGTGCTGTGACCTGGGCTACCATGCTAGCTTGGCACGCACCCTCAGGACCTACTTATCTGCCGAATACAACCTGGAGACATCACGCCACGAGGGACTGGATATCATAGAGAACGCGGTGGACAACCTGGATTCCCGCAGTGACAAGCACAAGATCATGGATATGCATAACCAGGTGTTCTGCCCTCCAATGCGCTTTGAGTACCTGCCACACATGGGAGATGAGGTGAGATGCTTTGAACGCTGCAGATTTGAAACTTAGCACTGATATCTCTCACTGACTTAAGTTTGTTTTTTACTACAAAGTGCAATTTAAGCTGAAGATGGATCTTTTTTGTCTTCTGTAACCCATGTGTCCTCGTCCGCCTCCTCAGGTGTGCCAGGTGAGCGCCCAGCAGCCCGTCCAGACTGAACTCCTGATGCGCTACCACCAACTGCAGTCTCGCTTAGCTACGCTAAAGATTGAAAACGAGGAGGTGAGGATTTATGATGGTCCTGTGTCTGTCCAGCACCCCCCCACCACCACCACCACCACCACCACCACCTTAAGCCCCAACCCCCCAAAAAACAGAAAGCCCTGTTTCATTACCCCAGAGCCAAGTAGGAGGGCCACATCACCATCTGTTCTCATTGCAATTACTCTCCAATGACCCCTCACTCAGCGGGAGGTGAGAATATATTAGGATTGTCACAGCGCCAATGTTATGTTTTCTATGAAGTTCTTTATGACATAGTATATTTTGTGATGAACAGAGGACTTTCTCATTACGAGCCGCCGACACAAAGGTGCAAATGGAGGTGATAATAAGCAGAGCCTGTTAGACTCTCCTGTGCCAATGGCTCTGCCTCTTTCCTGTCTCCCCGTGTCTTGTGCTCTGGAGGATAATGGACGAGCCCTGCCATTACTGGAAATGAGCTTTATCAATCTCAGCCCTAAACAAAAAGCCTCCTTTGGTAATTTCACATACAATTTGTATCTCTGCCAGGCACTCTTCAATTTCATGTCTGAGACTGATGTATGCCTGAAGTGCAGTTGCTCTGGACTGATACTGGGATGCTGCTTGATGTCACTTCAGTGTAATTCCAGGTTGTTTATTGTTCAGGGGTGAATTTGTCTTTGATATAAATATGCTAATGCTGTAAATCACTCACTCTTGCCCTTGAAATTGTCACCAGTTACTTTGGTTCCATCAAGACTTGGAAAAAAAATAGCCACGAAAAGGAAAAGACTTAGTAAGATCTGACACTTCATTTGTCATCTTCTTTCCTTTCTGTTTTCCCCCATCTGCGCAGGTGAGAAAGACCTTGGATGCCACCATGCAAACGCTGCAGGACATGCTGACGGTAGAGGACTTTGACGTGTCGGATGCCTTCCAACACAGCCGCTCCACTGAATCCATTAAGTCTGTGGCCTCCGAGTCCTACATGAGCAAGCTGAATGTAGCCAAGAGGAGGTCGAACCAACAGGAGACTGAAATGTTTTACTTCTCGGTGAGTTCACGTCATCATTTTGATCTGTCTGTCCTTCCAAACTGTTAATTGCTGCCAGCCTGCTGCAACCTCCACTGTTGTGCTGCCTTCTAAATCAAGACATCAGTCATCATTTCCACATGCTCTGAAAATAGAAATTAAATTAAAACTAGAACAGATTGAATTTATGCTGATTTGAGCGACGCTGAATTGTTTGACTGGGCTCGTGTTACACCGGATTAGTGCTGCTGCTCGCTCATTGTTGCCTTTCATCTCTCTGTGTAGAAATTCAAGGAGTACCTGAATGGCAGTAACCTCATCATTAAGCTGCAGGCCAAGCATGACTTGCTGAAGCAGACACTAGGCGAAGGTAAGGAGTCTTTTTCTCTTCGTCTGTCTTCATCTATGACCCGCAAAATGCTGCCACAGCTCTGTAAAATGTTATAATGGTGCAGGTGTTATCTAATAAGCAGCAGGGAATGAGATACAGGAGGCTATAAAGACGACAATATTTTAGGGAAGCAGGAAGGAAAGACGAAATTGGTGCTGATATTCAAATGCAGAACTATCACACCAAAAGCAGACCACATCTACTTTGAGGTATCCATTCCCCTGAACTGGCTCACAGGTTGTAGACTGTGGGTATAAGCCTGTCATTGGTCACCAATTTTGTTTTCAAAATACCTGTTGCTACGTAAGACTAGTCTCACATAGCCAGACCTATATCCAGACTTCATTTTAGAGCTGTGTGTGAAACAACAACCACTGGGCCAGCAAACTACATGGTAAATGGGCTGCACTTGTATAGTGCTTTTCTGGTCTTCCAACCACTCACCTGGGCTTAGCGCCGCCCAAGATGAAATACAAACAACTGGGAGCACTTTTTCCCACTCAAGCTCCTTTTCCACTGGATTAAAAATCCACTAACATCTGGCTTTTATATGTAATGGGAAAGGTAACAATTTGCATTCACTCCCAGGACAGATGACTCTGCAGTAGGCACAGGTATTTATTGACTCCAGCCCTGATTGGCTTTGATAGGCAGTGTTGGAAATACAATATCTGGATTACTGGATGCTGTAATTTTACCCCTACCGACACAATGAAATGACACACTGCCACAAAATGCTGCCTGTCTCAATATAAGCAATGCTCTAATATCATTCAAAATTAGTTGGCGCTGAGTCTGAAAGAGAGACTGAAGTAAAAGAAGTAAGAGATACAAAAAAGAAGTAACCACTGTAACATATTCACTGGCCTCCATGCTGCTTTCTACAGTTACTAACCTGTTTTCCAGCCCGGCGGTGACACATAAGGAAAACAAAAACAGAGGGGCGTAGGCCTACTTATCTACTGCAGAGCCCTGTAAGTGGCCCTTGTCTACGGCCAGTGGGAAAGCAGTCTATCGCCTATTTTTAACAGGTTTTCTAACATTTAAAAAACCTGCATACACGTGCTAATTTTGGTGGGATAGGGGTGGAATTATGATGGGTTCCTCCAGCACTGACACACAGTGGGATGGGACTAGCTATGTGAGACTACCATTCACCTTTCCACTTAATTCCAATGGTTTAAATTATTATCTGGTTGCTCTCTACATGGTGAAGCCGCAGGGCTGTAAGGGAAAGGCTTTCCTTGGCCCCTAGCTTCCCGCTGCCCCTCCCTTCCCCAGGGGTCCCCTTGTCACCTCAGCCGTGAACAGTTTACGCCCAATCAATCAGCAGGACCAGACCCAGGCCCGTTTCCGCAGCTGCTCCTGCATTAGGGGTTCACCTTATAGAGAAGGGCATCAGGCACAGACAGCTGTGGCCTTGCAACACACATGAATATTTCCACATTAAACACCTTGGATTCATTCATTCATTCAAGTCTTCACTTAATAATTGATTTTGTGCTGTCGAGCTTTCAAGAAGTTGACGTGATTCCCTCTGTGGGAAACAATGAGCTGCATGCTTTTGCACTCATAAACACACACATTATAGTTCGTATCAATCTCTGGACAGATCGGTTTGTATGTCCACGGTGGAGCAGCTGAGAGGGTGTATGCACACGGCATATTGCGTCTCCAGGTACCACCCGTGTTTAATTATTCAGGTGATCAATCAGGGTTGCGTCGTGCTCATTAGCTCATTGCTTCACGCCCAAAATGGCATGTTTGTGTATGCGTGTGGGTGTTTGTGAGCATGACAGAGGGAACAAGATGAGACTGGTGAGTGCCACATGGCGTTTACATCTTGCTGCATGTATTAATAAAAGCATAATGTCGAGCACTGGCACCAGACAAGATGGTGCTAGGATATCTGCCAGCCCTTGTTTCCCAGATAAGGAGTCACCATTTTCCTTATTCAGTCAGTTTGATTTGTACTTGTCTCCTTTTATGTTTATATAATAGATATCTCTCTGCCACTGAGGGACTCTGGCAGTTTGTGTGATGAAATTAGTGGAAAATCAAGCAAGAGTTTTTGCTTGAGAAGCTCTGTGTAATTTTGAGGTTGGTTGGTCAGAGGTGGACAGAGGCTATCACTCAGAGCAATGATGTCTGGGAAATGTGCTGTTGTTTATCCACATGAATGCTCCAGAGATCTTGTCCCATCTGCCAAAATGATGTGCTGAGAAATGGGTTAGCCTTTGCTCTCTCTGCCCATTGTTATATGGAGTAAAGAAATAATGTTGGAATGCTTTGGTGCCATTGTTTCCCTTTTTTGTACATTGACTGCCTTCCAGTTGATAACCCAGTCAGACAAAGACACACTCTTGTGCTCAGTTCATAAAGAAAAGCTGGGGTGTCTTTGAATTATCCGACTGAAAGATGTGTGTTATCAGAAACATAAACTTTGATGTATTCTTAAATGATTCAAAACCAGTATGAGCTTAATCATGACTTTCTAGACTGTGGTTTCTTTATGCATATGCTATATAACATGTGCATGTGCTGTTGGAAACCAATAACAAAAGGCTCAGTGAACCAGCACAGACATCCCCAACATATACACACTGCAGCACACCCCCNCCCCCCCCCCCCCCCCCCCCCCTTTTCTTTGCTTTGCTAGGAGGCCTATAACCCCACAGGGTCCTCCGGGTCCCCTGTGGTTTCAGCGACGACTGCTCAATAGCTTTGTCCAATGAATGGTGTTAGCACTGCGCCATTCATCTCTCCCTCTCAATAGTCGTGTTGTGCCTCATCAAAGCCTTCAGTGATGGTGGACACTGGAGTCTGTATAATATGTACCACAACGATATAACATGTGCTTCTTGTGTTGTGTTGTGTTGTGTTTCCACAGGGGAAAGGGCCGAGTGTGGAACTACAAGGTATGACGTCCTTTGTCTTTCAGCCATGACACATCTGTTTAAAGCATGTTGGGTTTTTTCCCTTTATTTCATGAGACTATTTAAGAGAAGGGAAGACAAAAGCATGCCAGTTGAACACCCAAACAGAAAAATATATATTTAAGAAATTATATACATTAGAAAAATAGAATTGTTGTTGTACGTTGATTAGATTTGAGTACACCGCATGGCAACATTGCAGTGAATAAATGTCAAGCAGTGTCCAAACAATGGCCATGCTCAGTGTGATATTAGGACATAATATTAATATTAAATGTATAAAAATTGTCAGGAAGTGGCCATGGTTTTGCATTTTCTATTGTCCTTTCCAAAAATGACACGCCCTCTTGCACATACAACGTATTCCTATTGTTTCTTTAATAAAGGATTGTCATAAGTGTTAACTTTTAGCTGTACCTCAGTTAACATATGCATGATTTTCTTAACACATTTTTGCATTTTGATATAATAGAATAGAAAACATGTGATAATAAGTTCCAAACGATGACTGTATATAAACATGGACGATGCGTCTCCACTTCCTTTCCCTGTACAAAAATGAAGCCAAAATATCCTGGTTACTGGCGCTGTCATATAGAGCCAGAGTCTGTGCAGTAGCTATTGGGAAGTTGGGCTGGGGTATGCAGCTCCTACTCATACACCTGTCTGACCTAATCGCAAGCTCACTGATCGTCACATGCAGCTGTTAATCATGACATCACACCCCCTTTTGTAGCATCATATAACTAATTTAAAAAAAACATTTCGAGAAAAGAACACTTGAGCATGTATTACTGTGATAAAAACAACCTAAAATTACAGAAACCATCTTTGAAAAATGTTTTTTGATGTGTATTTTGATATTTTAGTTTGGCCCCTGTCCGATTCGTCAACATGGAGAGGGCGGGGTTTATGACCTGTACTGCAGCCAGCGGGCAATACAGATATTTTGGCTTCACTTTTGAGGAGCTGTCATGTCATTCATCTTTATATGCTGTTTACAGTTCCACAGTGTATCAATACATGCTATGTTTGGATTGCTTGTTGTCAACTGGCAGGTGATTTATTGGCCTTGTTAATAATGTTTATTAATCTGTGCTGGTTTCTTTTTAGTAAGTCAAAAAGTGTTTTACTGAAGATCCACACTTAGAGTTTTGTACAGCCCACCGGTAGTAATTAAAAGCCTGACTTTTATCATGCATCACTGATAAAAGACCTTTGATGAAACATCTCATTTTGAGTTTTCTTTTTCCATTACTTCACTTAAACAGAGGTTTTTTTCAGCGATCAAGCGATCATGTTTTTTCATACCTGCTTTCAAACCTCCTTGTTTGGTTCGACAGTTTTCACGGAACATTGTGTTTTTGTACCTTTTGTCCATCATTTCACAGGCCCCCCACCCTTCCCCCTAAACCACAGAAAATGCGGAAGCCTAGGCCGCGATCCGTGTATAACCATAAGCTGTTTAATGGCAATATGGAGACCTTCATCAAGGTACCTCTGGTGGTGGTGTATGACTGAGCGGCCCCTGTGGCGCAGGAGGGGAAGGCAGCTAGAGCCTTTGCTCTCATTCTCTTCCTCACTTTGGCCTTCTGTTCCTCCCTCTTCCAGCTGCCCTTGATCACAATATAACGCCTCTGTTTAACCTCTAATCCTCCTCCTCCCTTCCGTGGTTCTGCTGGTGCAGACAGAGCGGCAGTCAGCTGTCTCTTTATTCCCCTCCAAAACAATTTGCCATCTCTGGCTTTATTTCTAAATCCAGTCACTCTTTAGACAACTGAGAGGCAGGAGACAGCAGTGGATCTGCTTTGTCCCTCACTGCACCCGACCCTTTACTGCATCTCTGTAGCTTTCCTATCGCCGGTCCCTGTGCTTAGCCTTCTTTAACCTCCAGAGGGGTCATTTGTCATCTGAGCTTTTCTAACTCTGTGCTTCTCTGCCCTCTCTTCCTCTGCTACTCTGTGCTTTGCGGCTTTCTGTCCCAGAGGAAGAAGGAATGCCCGTACCCGCATTCAGGTACCTGTGTTAATGGAGAGTATAGGTCAGGGCACAAGGGCACTAAAACTTTCAGACTGATAACAGAAATATACTGGCTACTGCTTGGGCTAAACTTGCATGCTGCTATTTTCATAACTGTTTTTAACTCTGTGACATCAGGTTATTGATAACAGTTGCTTGTGTTGTGGATGTTTTGTTTGTTTAACACTGCTCATGAGATTAGCCTAATAAAATGTTTATGAGGCATTAGGATGTTTATGAGGCATTAGGTTTGTAATCAAAGGAAGCATTAGACTTCTCCTGTTTTGCATATCTTTAATTAAAGTGAATTAGAACGGGATTAGTTATTGTATGTATTGATAAGAGAATACTGCATGTTTAATTCCTTATTGAGACATTGTGTAGTTAGTAATGATGCTGTGTTAATGGTACACAAAACACTAGGTGTTGCTTACTCTTTTAGTTATGTATTCTTTTATGCTATAATTTCTCTTGCCCTGTCTGTATTTATGTATCTTTTGCATCATTTTATTTCAGGATTCAGGTCAACCGATCCCACTTGTTGTTGAAAGCTGTATCAGATACATCAATCTATATGGTGAGACTCACTTTATGTTACTGTGATTTCTGCGTGAGAGTGAAAGGGCAGGAAAAAGAAAGCAAACCATGAAGTCCTTTGAAAACTCCTTCAGCCTCATAAGAAGTGACAGCAGCTATTGGACGAGCCAATCTATTTCCACAAATAGCCGCAGGTACAGAGACTGACCTGCTCCGCACTACACCTCCAGTCTCTGAGGCGCTCAGCTGCCTGCCAGTGATTTGACAAGCTCATAACAATAGATCACACACGGAGAGTTTTCAAAGTCCCATTGGTCTTGGTTTCGTCAGTTCAGCCAACCACCCCAACCCTCTGTATAACTCCTCCCTGTCTACCTTCACATCTGTCTTCAGCTCATTGCTGTAGCCTGCAGGCCTTTCCCCTGGATCTGGACCTAATGAAACTCCAGAAAACTGATTAGGAGCCCTCTAACTGAAACCATATGCTGCAGCCTCACTGAGGGGCCCTCTCATGGAAAAATACGCATCTCCCTTTATGACTAGATTACATTTCCTGCTCTGTGTTATGTGTTTCCAATGGGCTTTCGTGAAGCTGGCACTGGGGTGTGGAGATAATGGTGGCTAGCGTAACTCTGAATCTCCAAATTCTGGGTTGTATTTCTTTCAGGCTTGCAGCAGCAGGGCATATTCCGCGTGCCAGGATCACAGGTGGAAGTCAATGACATTAAGAACTCATTTGAGAGAGGTGAGTCAAAGACAGATGGTGTTATATTTCCCTTTGTTAAAGGTGTGTAGGATATAGGGGCATATATTGGCAGAAATGGAATATAGTAAGTATGTTTTCTTTAGTGTATTATCACCTGTTGTAGTCTTTTTGTTACTTTTGGATGAGCACTTTGTATCTACATATGGAGCCAGTCCTCGTGTTTCTACAGTAGCACAGAAGGGACAAACCAAACGCGGGCTCTAGATAGGGACATTCATGTTTTCGCGATGGCCCCTTCACAGCGAGCCAGAAGGCATCTGAAAAAGACAAATTTTTAATGTGAAACTGCTTTATTTTACAGTGTTTTTACCAGTTTAAATCAGCATGTTCATTTGTTTTGGAGAGGAGGAGATCTCCTGCTCAAAACCTCCTTAACGTCTGGATCTTGAGTTATCAGAGAAAATATGTGAGCACACATTAGCAGGTGCTTGGCTAGTGGCCTGTCTGCGATGAGCCAACCAGTGTTGGAAAAAGATTGATTTGTATCATGAAACTGCTTTATTCAGTGTTTTACCAGTTTCAATCACCCAGCCTGTTTGTTATGGAGAGAAAGAGACTTGCAGATAATTTGTCCCATGGTAAAAACCTCCTGAACAGTGAACACTGAAGGAATCCTACCCGGGAGTTCACGCTTGGCACATGGGAGAAGTTTCAGCTGGCTGCAGTCTGCAATCCTCACAGCTAGATGCCGCTAGATCCTACACACTGTTCCTTTAAATGCGATGAACTCATCAAATGTCACCACTAAAAGCACATGTTTTTCTTTATCAGGTGAGGATCCCTTGATTGATGATCAGAATGAGCATGACATCAACTCAGTGGCAGGGGTGCTGAAGCTGTACTTCAGAGGACTGGAGAACCCCCTCTTCCCAAAGGAGCGCTTCCTGGACTTCATCTCTACCATCAGTGAGTCACGCACAACACACCATATTCAAATCCACTGCAGCTGTGAGTGGACTGGTTGAATAGAAAAGAGGAAACATAGCTCGCAGTTTCGTATAAACTCAGCTCTACTGTGGAGGAGAAAGGCATGTGGCGCAGCACATGGAAGCAATCTTAACAGCAGGGCTGATATTTAACAGAAAGCCAGTAGGAAGAGGAGAGTGTGGGCCACATCAGTCTGCCGTGTGCGAGATCACCACAGAATCATTTCCCCTGCTGTTTCTACAGTAATAGTTTGATCACTCAGTGTGCCTTACGGGTCTGGTGAAAGGCAGGAGGGGGGCATCTATTAAAGTGTCAAATAACAGTTTTCAGAATCTCCTCTCCTTTTGCTTTTGCTCCCTTTGATCAATTCTCTTTTTGCCAGGGTCTGGTATGTGTTATAATTCAGTGGACAGTGTTGTTAAAAGCTGATGCCAACGTATATAAATGTTTATTAGCAATATTTGTCTTGTTTATTGAATTGTAAATCACTGTTGTTATACCTTTATGTCTCTGTCCTTTGTGTTTCAGAGCTGGAGTCTGGAGCTGAGAGAGCGCATCACATCCAGCAGATCATTGTGACTCTTTCTCGCACCATCATAATCGTCATGAGATACCTCTTTGCTTTTCTCAATCAGTGAGTTTGCACCGCTATCTTCACTGAAGATATTTTAAGCCACAGGTCTTGGTGTACACAGACGAGCATGAAGATGAGTTTATTTTTTGTACAGACAACAGTGATGTCATTTGATATTAAACTTAAAGATATACTATACAGTTTTTTTGCAGATTCAAACATAAGTAATCCCTCTCAATCATCACTTACGACCCACTAGAAGAGTGAGGTGGTGTATTTTTCTGCAGAGACTGTGCCCTGGGCGTGTACCCCCACAGTCGTCAGGTGTGGTCACAGCTTTAAAATAAATAAGCAGTGTCCGCCCAAGAGACACAGCACCAAAAAATCCCACAAATATAGCGAAGTGAAACACCAAACGAGAGCGAATCTGGGGTTAGCTTTTACTTCAGTCCTTCTTACACACAGATCACGCTATAAGGCCGCTATGAAGTTCCTTCTTTACGCCTCCATGCATTTTTACACAGAATCAAATGACAGTGGCATCATTCCGCTCCAGTGTGTGATTATACACTGTATCTGTGCATTGCAGAATCAAAAGAGGCATGATGGACATAAAAGTAACACACCAGCATCAGCCTCGAGTGTGACATATAATATATGCGCTGACATCACTTTCTAAACAACAACAATGGCATTAACGTGTCGATAACAATCATTTACCATACCTGTTATATGGCAGCTGATCTGATGCTCTGCTCAGAGGGTAAGGAGCTCCCTGACCTCATTTTTTTCCCAATTCCTGGACATTTACGGCCACTGTTCTTCTTCGTTGAGTTAGCTGCTAATTGCTAATTGCTAATTGCTACTTTTTAAATCTCCTGTGGTGGGTTACACGTATTACGCATTGCCAAAATGTCACACCCGTGCCACCCACGATTCCGTCCTGCAGACTGTCCTGTTTATATGGACACAATTTCGGGGCTGTTACTACCTCCCGTGGCGTATTAAAGGGTATACATCATACTTTATGTACAGCACAGTGAGGCAGCATAACAGCGCTATTCCCGCCTTGAACAGGCAGTGTAGAAGGGGCTTTTGACTTTTGCTGGTGAGTATATTTACAGAAAGAAACCAACAATCCTGCATAAACCTTTAATTTTACTTGTAAATGTAATTCTACTGGGGAGAATCCATGCTGAAGAAACAGAATAGCTACAGTCAGGTGAAAAGACAGGATCCAAAAATATAAATGAAAAAAAAAACACCTGCTGTTTATTGCTACATCAGTCTGCAGCATTTTAGGAGTTATTTATGTGCTCGGAAACTCATGCCTCGCTGAAGTAGTATACCTGTTCTCTTATAATGGATGTTATTAATGTGCCTTTTACCGGGTTTGCCTGCAGAACAAAGAGTTTGATTTCATAGCCCAGGTTTTACTCTGCTCTTTTTTTTTTTTACCCCCTTCAATGTTGGAGCTGTTCCAGCTGTGGTTTTACTACACAGCCTCAGCTTGTTGATAATGTGCAAGGGCTGATTATGACTTCCTCTTGCAGCACTGAATGATCTGGTTACCCAGAGTGGGTTGTGGCATGTGCTGGCTGAGTCGGTTTGTTTAAGGAGGTTGGCTAATCAGAGTGCTTTTTAAGCAAATGTCTGACTAAGCTATGCAATGAGGCACGTAATACTGTATGTCAAAACTTGAATTCACTCGAAGCCAGACTGTGACTCTGTTAAGATGTGTCTGCGTCATACTGTTGGTCATTTCCAGACGGTATGGAGTTGATCACTTGAAGCAGCTATAATATTTTTTTTTTTCAGATATACATTTTTCTAACAATGGACCACATGACTACTTGTATGTTGCTTTGTTTTTCCAGCCAACAACTTGTCTCTTCTGGTCACTCTTGTTTTCGGCTGCAGCAGGCAGCAATTTTCAGTGTAAGAGCTCTAAAAGCCAGTGTGCACAGCGTGCCCAGCAATAAACAACAAATTTAGCAAGTAGCTGGTGATTACAGTAGAGCATTTAGCAGCTAAAGAGTCAGATATTTCCCTCGGGAGTTAGTGGAGACCAAAGACAGAGCTAAAATGAGATATTCTGAGATACTGACCAGAAACATGACTCCAAATGAATGCTAATGTTGCTCCTCGTCTGCTGGATGTATAAAGATGCTGTTTGCACACACACATTTGTCATTTCAGCTTTGAAGAAGATAATATGTCAGTACTGGATTCACAGCTTGTGGCCAAAACTCATTTATGTAGGTTTAGCAGTGTAATAACCAGTCTAACGATATATGACATCATTTATAATTCAAAGTAAACAAAAAGATGAGGTCTTCAAAAGTATGCTTTCATGATACCACATGTTAAAAGCAATACTATTAACATCATCACATGTTGGTATGTTTTTAGGGACTATACTTTTTAAGTACCAACACTATGTGCAGTTTAATTGTATCAAAGTTTAAAATTTGGTATCATGGCAACATTACAAAAGGGTAACCCAAGCACAAAATACAGAACAGTAATGTCGCCTTATCTCTCCCAATTTGATCGGCGGGTCTTTTAATACAGACTACCACCAGACAACAACTTAATCGATACAAACAGTATTTATGTTGTTATCTGATGTTGTTAAGGTTGTTTCCATCATTAAACTCACGATGCCCCCCTGTCCTGCCCCTCAGTCTCTCCCAGTACAGTGATGAGAACATGATGGATCCATACAATCTGGCAATCTGCTTTGGTCCGACCCTGATGCCAATCCCAGACGGACAGGATCCTGTAGCGTGCCAGGCACATGTTAATGAGGTCATCAAGACTATCATCATCCACAATGAACTCATCTTTCCCAATCAGCGTGAGCTGGACGGCCCGGTGTATGAAAAGTGCATGACTGGGGGGGAGGAGTACTGGTGAGTATCGTCAGTGAATACATGAACAGTTATGTTGAGACTACAGTCCAAAGCTGTGTTATTTTATATTATGTTCATGAAACTAGTATTTGTTGTGGTCTACTCTATATAGTGTTGAGTTTCTCTGTCCATTTGCTCCCACAGTGACAGCCCACATAGTGAACCAGGAACTATTGACGAAGCTGACAATGGAACTGAGCCACACACCAGTGATGAAGGTCAGTACATCTTAGTTGTCATTTTTCATCTATTATTTATGGAGGGGCTTTGCTATTACACAGGTTTGTCCCCAGGGATGGCAGTGTTGGTCTGTTTGTCAGTCTGGTCCAGACTGAAATACCTCAACAACGATTGGATGGCTTGCCATAAAATTTGGTGCAGACATTCATCATGCCCAAAGGATGAATCATTCTCACACTGGTGATCCTTTGACTTTACCTGTAGTGCCACCAGCATGTTGACATTTGTGGTTTTGAGTGAAATGTCCTGACAACAGTTGAATGGACTGCCAAGAAAATTGGTAGATATTCATGTTTCCCTCAGGATATGTTTGTGATTTCCTGACTTTCCATCAAATGCCAGAATCAGGTCAGAATTTCAATTTGTCCAATGCTCTGCTTTGTTACCAAATACCTAAAAAACTAGCAACATAACTAATAGTCTCTGTAGCTGCACATTGTGTTTAGTGTTAAGTTACAATTGTTAGCGTGCTAACTAGGGGTATAAATCACCAGTTTCATCAGTTTACGATATTATATTGATTCTTTGGACCTTTCTGGAAGAAATGTTTTCATTTTAACCCAAACCAAACTTCTCCAAACAGCCATGAAACAAGATCATTTAACACTTGTATCAAAAGCTCAGTAATAACAACAGCAACAATAACAACTTTGTCAGAAACAAAGCAGTTATTTTTTGCTAGTCACACATTATTAGCTTAAGTATATTTATATTGCATTAGCCTAGTGGCTAGCAGACTTTTTCCCCACTACTTGTACCTTAAAAAATGACATGTAACAGTATTATTTTTCTTACTCACTGTGGGTTTAAGTCACTGCATCTCCTGACAGAAATGCACGTTTGAATTTCAGCCTACGTGCATGTTTTTTCAGTCGAAAATTGTTAAAAGTCGCTAATACCAAGAGTTGCTAATAGTACTGTGTGAAGTGAGAAGTTAATAGGATGAAATGCCCGTCCAGGTATGCAACGTTACGTCTTGTTTTATCTTTTTTTTAAGATTTTTTTTTTTGGGGCATTTTCAGCCTTTAATGGATAGGACAGACAAGTGTGAAGGGGGGAGAGAGAGGGAGTGACATGCAGCAAAGGGCCACAGGCTGGAGTCAAACCCGGGCCGCTGCAGCAACAGCCTTGTACATGGGGCGCCTACTCTACCACTAAGCCACCGACGCCCCACGTCTTGTTTTATCTTGTTTATGTTCGGCATGTGTTCTGTCTGTTGACCTGTATTTTCTCCGAAATCCTGCTTGCCATCTGCCGCCCGCTATTTGATGGAGAAACAGACTTTCAAAATAAAAGCGTGCCCTGAAGATGACAGTATGGATCAATGTTTTCACTTTGCATCGTTGACATTGGATCGTTGATCGCTTAATTGATATATTGATCCAGATGGCCAAAAATACTGATTTATCTATACATGTCTGTTTTGAATGTTTGAAACTTCAATACTCATTTATCACATTATCGACGCACCGCTACCAGCTATGCTTTCTCACTCAAACTTTGTTGACTACCGCCACTTTGCTGCTCTCTGCTACTCACTAAGATAAGAAAAATTATTATTGTCATGTTATAGCCTTGTCATATTTATCTTGTAATCAAAAATTTTAAGTCAATTGCCATAAATATCGCTATTTTTTTCAAGTTATTGTATCAAAGTTGGAAATTCCAGTATCATGGCAACACTAATGCATACACAGAAACCAAAGATGATGAACTTGACATGTTACCTTCTAAACATTAGCATGTTGGTATGCTGACCCCAACATTTAGCTCAGAGCACCACTGTGCTTGCATACAGCCTCATAAAACCACTAGCATGGCTCTTTATCTTATTTGTTCATGCAGCCCATTCTCCTGATTTGTTATGTTTGTAGCCATATAAACTGTCAGTCTCGACTGTGTGCACTGTAGTTATTATCAGAGCTAGAGGGGATATGTTACCATTATTTCTTCTGTACAGCACACTTTTAGACATGTTACCATTTGATGTTGACTTTAAATACTGACTATTGAAAATCAAAGACAAGTCACATCTTGGCAAGCGGGACATGAATTTCACATGAGAAATATGTGATGTGATTTTAGGAGTCTTGGCGGATAAGAAAGCTGTGCAGACTGACCTTTTTTATTAAGTGCTTTTGACTGAGGGGTGAGTGAGGTTTGCACTGCAACAGCTTATGATTGCAGAGGCTTATGTGATGTTTGAAGCTGAAGGCAAGTTGAGTAAACAGTGTTGGCATGCAGCACTGCCTCTTTGATCTGTCTTTCTCTGTGTTTGTGTGTGTGTGTGAGTGAGTCTCCCTCCTCTCTCTCTCCCCCTCCCTCCCCCTGCTCCCCTGCTCGCTCTTTGTTCAGTGTTAGTCAGCAATTCTCCCGAGACTTTCTCCTTTGTGCAGTATTTCCCCAATTCTCCTCTGAGCTTTGAATGCATAACTGGGCCAGGCACAAAAGCCAAAACACGAGTAATACACAGAATAATATCTCCTGTGCTGTCTGTGAAGAGTCATTGAACAGGTCTGTGAAGTATGGAGTGTGCGAGGTCAGAGAAGGGTAACCCTGTCTTTTAGCTCCATTTATGTGCTGTTGGCTGCGCGTGTAATGACTGCTGACCCTTTCTTTCTGTTTTTGCTCTTAGTTTAAGAAGACAACAAAGCCTGATTGCCTGCTGTAGGCTCAGCTCCTGCTGGCCTTAATGCTGAGAGAATCTTATGTGACATTATGGGCTCTGCTGTTGCACTGTGGTGTCTGTACTCGGTTCAGTTGGTGCCCTTTGTCAGCAGTTCAGTTTTCATGGGTGACGTTGGTGTCATATTTAGAGCCAAGCAACCACTGTGTACAGTTTCTGTTGTCATTACTTTGGAACTGAAACCAAATTTGGATAAAGCTGTTTTTCATCTTTATTCACTCACAACTATGTCATGTCTTTGCACCCTTTGGGAAGGTTTTTCCAAATAAAACCAATCAGAGGGGTGCAGAACTGGGGGTTCTCTTGGTGAGAGCTGATTGCTGTAACCATACAGTTAACTCTGACTGACCCCTGCTGGCTGGCATGTTGAAATACACTGCAGACAGGCAAATTCATTCTATTATATCAGCTTTGTTGTGATCTAAAATAGTTTCCATACAAGTAAATAGTAGTGGCTGCCTGTCACGCAATAATTTGTTCACTACTTATTGGAAACACACATTTGTTGTATTTCGTCTTTGTTACTCTGTAGTATGTCTGAGTGGTTTACAATGTAAACTGAGGCATCACGTACTGAATCATAGCAATAATGTTAATGCAGTAAAGATTGAATCAGAAGCACATAATCCAAGATCTCTTGATTTTTTTCCTTATTTTCTTATTTTGCATATATATTGTACATAACAAGATCCAGCATTGTGACTTATGTTGTTGATTACAGACATGTTTGAGTCTATTAAGCAGTTGATTAAGCCTTTTGTTGATGTCTATTAATGTTTTCAGAGGTGGAACAGATCGAGGCCATCGCTAAGTTTGACTACGTGGGACGCACTCCCAGGGAGCTGTCCTTCAAAAAGGGAGCGTCCCTGCTTCTGTACCACCGAGCGTCTGAAGACTGGTGGGAGGGCCGCCACAATGGCGTGGATGGCCTTATCCCCCATCAGTACATTGTAGTCCAAGACCTGTAAGTGACAGCAGAATATGTCCTGGTAGCTGTTGTTTATTGTGTGTCATGTAATTCTCTCACTTACATTTCAAACTGTCATCAGTGAAGCTGACAACATCACACTAAACTGTTGGGTTGGACAAAGTTACTCTTAATTTTCCTTTAAAAATGTTATCACTGAAGGTGTACATGCATGTGCGTCTGCTCTTTCAGGGATGATGCTTTCTCAGACAACCTCAGCCAGAAAGCAGATAGTGAAGCGAGCAGTGGACCATTGCTGGATGATAAGGGTTCATCCAAGAATGATGCTCCGTCACCATGTGAACAGTCACCAGATTACAACTTTGGAGGAGTCATGGGGAGGTGGATACAATACAAACAGCACTTTTCTTCGTTTAAAAGTTCTCTTGAGTGTTATTGAGGAGTTATCCTGTTTGACTGTTGGTCTGATCTGATCTCTCTACGAAGGGTGAGGCTACGGTCAGATGGAGCTGCAATCCCACGTCGCCGCAGCGGTACGGACACCCACAGCCCAACCAGAGTGGCAGACACTCCGCCGCGCGCTGCAGCCTGTCCCAGCAGCCCCCACAAGGTATCCATTAGTAAGGGTCGCATGGAGAGCCCAGAAAAGAGGCGACTTGGCACCTTTGGCAGTGCAGGAAGCATCAACTACCCAGACAGGAAGACCTATCCTGAAGGCCACCCTCTGAGACCAGTGCCGGGGGCCACTCGTCACAGTAGCCTCGGGGATCACAAATCACTGGAGACTGAAGCACTGGCTGAGGTAAGGTGGAAAAATCAAGGTAGAGGCAGTGGAAAAATGATACCAGTTGTTTATATGTGTCTGTTTGGTGGCTCTGTGGTCGCAGCAGCACACACGTCAGGCAAATATAGCATTTGAAAGGATCTGGAAGGGTTGATAGAACAGGGCCAGACCCCCCGATGTAGCTGTCAATCTGAGAGCAGCAGCTGGGACCTGGAGTAAATGTCAGGGCCAGACTGCAGCTGGGTGATAGACACCTCAAGGACACAGAGGCCTGGAACTGAACAACAAGCTAGCGAGCACTCAGTGTTCAGCACCAAATTGTCCCTTTCAGCTAATGGCTGCAGCCATCAGATCCAAACATGATCAAAACATCAAATGTACGGCATACACTTTGGAAGGACGGTACACCTGGAAATCAAAAATACATATTTTTCCTCTTACCTGTATTGCTATTTATTAATCTACATTAATTTGGTGTGAGTTGCTGTGTGTTGGAGATATCAGCCGTAGAGATGTCTGCCTTCTCTGGAATATAATGGAACTAGATGACACTTAGCATGGTGATATAGTGGGCAGTTGTAGATCTGTACAAAGAAAATAGTTCCCACATGAAACTGCTCACAACAAGGTCTGTGGATTATCTTGAGTAACCGCGTCATGATTTCTGGAAAGAGACATCGCTGTTGACTTCTTCAAATGTTTTTTTTGGCACTTTGAGCAACACAAGCTGAGTGCCATCTGGTTCCATTATATTGGAGAGAAGGCAGACATCTCTACGGCTCATATCTCCAGCACGCAACAGCTGACACCAAAACAATCTAGACTGATAAAAATCTTGGGTAAGAGGAAAAATATGTTTTTGTGATCTTGGTCATTTTAACTTTAGCTTGAACTGAGTTCTGATGGGTCATTCTGTTGTTTTGTAATGTGTTGCAATTTTGCAAACCATACTGCTATCACTGCGGGGTGAGCCTGTCCCAGCTGGAGCTGGAGCTCTGGGGGGCTGGGGAGCCAATTGAAAGCCAAGTGGTGCCTGTAAATGTAGGAAACTGAGGGGAAAATGGTCTGCATTATTGTTGAATTACAGTTACAAGGCTGTCACTCACAATCACATAAGTATGGCCCTTTAACTGTCATTTTTAAAACTCATGTCTCTCTGACCTGGCTGTTATTTTTAACTGTTCTGTCTTCCTCATTATTATCCCTCCTCTACCAGGACATAGAAAAGACTATGACCACAGCGCTTCATGAGCTCCGTGAACTGGAGCGACAGAACACAGTTAAGCAGGCTCCCGACGTGGTCTTGGACACCCTGGAGCCCATGAAGAACCCAGTTAGCTCCGAGCCCGGCAGCCCTCTGCACACCATTATGATTCGTGACCCGGATGCAGCCATGCGCCGCAGCAGCAGCTCCACCTCTGAGATGATGACCACCTTCAAACCGGCTCTCTCTGCCCGGCTGGCTGGGGCTCAGCTACGCCCCCCACCCATGAGGCCGGTGCGCCCTCCTCCTAACCAGCACCGCTCGAGCAGCTCCAGCTCTTCAGGGGTCGGCAGCCCTGCCGTAACTCCCACTGAGAAGATGTTTCCTAGTAACAGTACGGCTGCTGGTTCTAATATGAATGCGTCCAGTGATGCTGGAGATAAATCTGGTACCATGTAGCAAAGGTTGAATCCGCTAGGTGGGAAGGTTGTTCAGCTTCCCAAGTCAGGGGAAAGCTGATGGAAATGAGTGCTGATGTGTGAAAAGCAGATATGGATATTTTCATCTCTGTTTTCTGCCTGACTTAATTCATATAATTCAGGAAGCTCTTGAAGCGAGCCTACAATACGTTACCATGGTGATAAAGCGGCGGAAGAAGCTGTAGAGGTGTGATAGCGTAACCCTCAACTCTCTTTGAAACTTGATTTAACTAAAGGAAATGTGTATAAGAATACACGTGTTTCAGTTTTACCTCAGTTTCAACAAGAAAATCTGTGGCCATGTTCTCGTTTCAGAGATACAGTGAATGCAAGTGAAGCAATACTTGTGTGACATTTCGTATTTCTACCCAACACACGCTGTCCAGCTGATGTTTCAGTCACATCTGCTGATGTGCGTGAAACACCTCACCTGGACAGGTGCAAACATTCAGGCTAAAATACCATGTTTGGTTGCCGGGTAGGTCGCAGGCCTTACGGCTGTAGATACACACTTACTTGAAGTCGCCATGCTTTCTGTTTGTACTATAATACAGTGGATGTTCAGCAAAGTACAGTAACAACTTAGTGACATTATATACTTCTGCATGTGGGGTTTGGAGGAAATAAGGAAAAGTAAAAACTTGCATCAATAAGAGATTTTTAATGGTGCGCGATTTTCTCATATGGTCATTGTAAGCATAATCTAACAGTTTGAAACCTAATTTAATGGAGAAAAAAAGTTTCAGATATCAAAATATTTGATGAAGTAAAACATGGGGATGTTACAGTGTTTTATTTTAAATCTGCCATGTGTGTGGTACCGTCCACTACTAAAGATAAAAGCATCCTGGCATGAAGATGATCCCTAAAGTCTGAGACATACTAATCAGAACTTATCCTTCATCATGTACGGGGCAGACTTAACATGTCTGCCTCCATGTTATTTTCTGTGTCCTGTATATGAAATGCAGAAAACTAATACGTCAACTAATGTGGGAAAACCTGTGGTAAACCTGTACATAATATATAGCTAGTAATTTTTTAAGTGTTAATCTTGTACAGGCTAATACAAAAAAGGCAACGGGTCAGCTGTGAATGGCACTTAGAGTAAAGAAATCACCTTTTTTTTCCTTCAGTAAACTCCAAACATACTCTTTAACGGTATAAAATAGAGTTCAAATCTTGTACTGTGTGCTTAGAATGCAGTTTGTAATTGTACTGTAGAAAACGGATCGCTGTTGAACGAACAACAGAGGCCCGAAAAACCTAAACTTTTGCCTCTCCATGTCTAATTCGGGCGATTTTATTATTGCATAAGACACGTGGAAAAGTACCCTGTGATGGTTCCTCTTTAAAATTTAAAATCTGATACACACCCAGAGGAACCTGCGAAGTAGATGTTGTGACATGCAGTTATCACAGCTATCACAGTTTCCTTCCTTCCTTCCTGCCTTCTTCTCGCCCTTGCTGACAGATGCAGTTTTGCTCTGACTGTTTCTTTCGTTGGGAGAAATCTAAATCGAGAACATTTCAGTGTTTATATCTACTGTACCTCTTGTCATTCTGGCAGCTCTAGTCCAGAGACCTTGTTACCCGCATCCCAAAGAGCCTGCTCTCTTCTGCATGTTTTGCGCTGTAATGTCTGACTCATACTCTGCGGCAGTTAAACGATGGCTGTATGTGGTGCCTTGCCTTGGTAAAACGCACAAATTGACTCAATATTGGATGTTTGATTTTTTTACTTTAAATAAACAGGCCTTAATATTAATGGGGTTTGGGAATGATTAATAAAGCTGCTTGTTGCAGTTGCTAAAATAGAGGGGAAACAATAATGCTTGATTGAGTAAAATAAAGTTACATAGCATGTGAACCAGGCTCTGATCCCACTGTCAACTCTGCAGTCAGTCTGTACATTATGCAGTGTCACTGAGATACATGAATATTTGCTTGTTGTCAATGGATTGATTCTTAAGAGCAGAGAGCTCCTACAGCCAGAAAAAGACAATACAGCATTTAAAGTCAGTGCACTCACACCCTCTGCTGGTTCCTGCTGGTATTGCCTCTTCCTGTTACAAACCAGTGGACACCATCACCTTTACATGGGCATTATGATCTGGAGCTAATATAACAATCACTAAGCTCATTTATATAAGTCTATACGTCTGTACTGGTTACAGTTTTGCACCTGTTGAAATCTATGAAGATACAAAAAAAAAAAGTGTATACGAAGAAAGCACACAATTTCAAAAGGTGAAATGATCATCGTTATATTTAACTAGACTGTTGTGTTTTTTATTTATAGACACTTGTGTAAGTGGAGCAGAAAATTTGAGTGCCTTTTGCGCACAACATCAATTTTTATTAGACTTTTATATTTACTTTTTTTTTTTTTTTACTGTAATATGTTGTCTATTAGTTGTCATGTTTATTATAAACTGAGGTTGCTTTTTTTATCTTTACTTTCAATTGCTACTTGTCAAACCACCACAAGGAATACATGGTGTAAAGATACTCCTGTCATGACCTACAGAAGAATCATCATTAAAAATGCTTGTTTGTGTTTGGGGTGATCGCTGATGAATAGGAGTTATAGAAACTACTGTAAACGCGATCTGCTGGTGAAGTTCAGTAGAATCATCTCAGAATATTTCTCTTTTTTTTTTTTTGTTTTCCGTGTGAACTGCCTGTGCTGTGGTTGAGCTGTGACTTGCCATTTAGCTCCTTCCCTTCATTGCAGTATTGTTGGAAACCACAGGACTGATACAAACCCTCTTCTTGCAGAGGTTGTAAGGCACCTGGTGCGCTGTCCTTCCCCCTACATGTGATGTTACACAGACATTTTCTCTCCTGGAATGTATGCTGAAATGGGTAACACTGATCGTCTGCTGACGTGAGAGGACAAAAGAGGACATCACAGTAAGAGAGCAGACTGTCATGTTGTGAGGACCGTGAGTGTGAGTTGCTGTCACACTGTTTACCTTCTCTTTAATTGTTTGTCTAGTGATGCTGTTTGTTGATGAGTGTCTGGTTGGTTGAAACCCTGTGATGTAATGTACACCATACCACTGACTGGATGTTGAAAACCCCTGCATCCAAATAAAACCATTATTGCTCTGTGATCTGGATGTTGTGACTGAGTTGTTTTTGATTTGTAGTGTTACAAGAGGGGTCTGGAATCCAGTAGATTTAAAAGTGAATGACATCATAGAAATTTAAAAGTTAACAGATACTGTAATGGACGCATTTTTTTCTGTTAAGCCCCTGAAAACCTGGTGTAAAAGTATTTCTTTGAAACATTAAATATTAATTATTAAAGGGACAGTTCATACCAAAAACAAAAATACATATTTTTCCTCTTACCTGTAGTGATATTTATTAATCTAGATTGTTTTGGTGTGAGTTGCAGAGTGTTGGAGATATCAGCTGTAAAGATGTCTGCCTTCTCTCCAGTATAATAGAACTAGATGGCACTCAGCTTGTGGTGCTCAAAGTGCCACAAAAATACATTTTAAAAACTTAACAGCAATGTCTCTTTCCACAAATCATGACCCAGTAACTCAAGATTATCCACAGATATTGTTGTGAGAAGATTTATGTTGGAACTATTTTCTTTCTACCCTACTACACCTGCCAACCATATTACCACTCAAAAGGAAGCGTGTATCTTACTGCTAGCTCACCTAGTACTACTTAGCTAGCTAACCTTACAATTCAGCCAAGGAGGACGCCACTGATGACATCTTGCGCTGTCACGTGCCTCTTGTCCTTGAGTAAATGGTGATACATGGTTGGTGGGTGTACTTTGGTAGATAGAAAATAGTTCCTACATGAAACTGCTCACAACAAGGTCTGTGGATTATCTTGAGTAACTGGCGCATGATCTCTGGAAAGAGACATTACTGTTGAGTTTTTCAGATGTATGTTTTTGCCACTTTGAGCACCACAAGCAGAGTGTCATCTAGATCCATTATATTCAAGAGAAAGCAGATATCTCTATAGATATCTCCAACACTCTGCAACTCACACCAAAACAATCCAGACTGATAAATAGCACTACAGGTAAGAGGAAAAATATGTGTTTTTGACTTTTGGGTGGACTGTCCCTTTTAAATAAGCAACCATTAAATAAAGGTTTGCAAAAAAAAAAAAAAAAACATACTTGCAGTAGTTATTAGAAAGCTGTGTTTACCCTTGTAAACAATTGGTTAGATGTGAGCTGATCAGAGAAAAACAGGCATTAGCAAATGCAAAATGAACTGGCTCAAAATCACAAGAATAACTTTAATGGTGTGTGTATCAGAGTCTGTAGTTCATGCTGTTGCCACATGATGGAGAAACTGCAGCAGAGAAAGTGTTTGATAAACACGAGGGCTACATGTAGAGCGTATAGTCAGCACTCCGTTGATTACCCTTTCAGGATTAGGGGTGAGCGTTGTAGTGATGTTTTGCATAAATTAGATGATTACATCTCCCTTTGAAATTGACTTTCTAGTCCATTGGTCAGAGAGTGTTACACCACCAGCTCACGCCGACAGAGCATCAACAAAATTCAATTTGTTCCACCTGACAAACCTCTGTTCAACAAGAACATGTCAAACAAGCAACTGTGTTCACAGTTTTCATTAGTCTGGAAGGTATACCACTTATTAGCAAGTAATGATCTGCTGGAAGTGTACTTTTAAAGAGTTCTGTGTTTAGGTGAGCAGAACTAACTCTTTAAGTTGCAAAATAAAGCTCGATGTCTTAAAGGTCCAGTGTGTTGGGTTTAGGGGCATGTGGTAGCTGAGGTTGCAGAACTGAAACTTTCTTGTGTACCAAGCTTGTAGGAGAACTACGGTGCCGAAGCTAAAATGTGAATGGCCCCCTAAAGCAGGGGCGTAAATAGAGACAGTGTAGTTGCACTGGGGCCTGGAAGGTGGGAGGCCCATAGATAAAGTGGGCCCTCCAACAAGGTGCTGGGTGGAGAATGGGCCCTAATGTGACTCCTACCTTAAAATATGCCTGTGTTCAAAGAAGAACTGTCAATGAATTAAAACCATTTGTTATATGTATGCAGGGCGGCATGGTGGTGTGGTGGTTAGCACTGTCGCCTCACAGCAAGAAGGTTCCTGGTTCAATCCCGGGTGTGGGAGCCCTTCTGTGTGGAGCCTGCATGTTCTCCCCCTGTCTGCATGGGTCTTCTCTGGGTACTCCAGCTTGCTCTCACAGTCAATAGTGTGTGTTGATGTCATCCTATGTCAAGTCTCCGATCATGTGACGAGACAATATGTGCATGATAGGACCCAACATAATAACATGCACGTGCTTCCTGATGCCACTGCCCTCGAACCAACTTTAGGTTTTGTCTGTTCTAAACTACTTTAGAAACAACATGGCCGTCTCCATGGAGTGGGACCCTATCTGTAGATATAAACAGCTCATCCCACTGTTCTTAGTCTCAGGTGATTATAAACTAATGAAAACATAGCTATGAAAAAATAAAATAAAATAAAAAATATCCCCCTACATCCTACACACTGGACCTTTAAGGCTGTGTTGAGGTCATATCTTTAATTTTTCTTTTTTTTTAATTTAACCTTTATTTATCCAGGAAGTCCCATTGAGACTGAAAATTTCTTTTACAAGAGAGACCTGGCCAAGGTAGCAGCCAGTCTAAACACATTTAAAATCCACAAAATCCACAATAAAACAACTATTCAAACATAGTGGCCTCTCAAGAAAAACAAGCACATGTCTCTGTCACCACATTCTTTATGATGCCCTTAAATTCATCACTGGATATAAGTGTTCATAGTTTTAGATCTTTTTGAAGATTGCTCTATGTCCAAGGTGCAGAGTAGGAAAATGTAGTTTTCTCCACATCTGTTAAAAGCCAGGTGACATTAAAAAGCAACCACCTGGAGGAGCGTTGCTGGTAACTACCAGAGCGGACACACACAACAGGGTGCAGAGGGAGGCCCGAAGTTTGCCCAATATTGCTCTATAGATAAAAATATACCAGTGCTGTTGTCTGTGGGTGGTCAATGACGTCCAGCCAACCGAATCATAAAGAATGCAGTGATGAGTAAATGGCTTTGCATTTGTAATTAAATGTAGAGATGCATGGTACACTGAAAATGGAGGAGGCTGAATGTATATACAGTATGTCACTGTAATCAATCCAAGACAGAAAGGTAGCTTTCACAAGTTTTTTCTCAGCACTGAAAGTTAAACAAGATTTATTTCTAAAAGGAAAACCAATCTTCACTTTAAGCTTCCTAACGAGAGCAGCAATATGTACATTAAATGAAAGCTTGTTACCTATTCATATACCCGAGGTACAGTACTTGTATGAGGACACACTTTCAATGGATTTACCGTCAGACGTGAAGATGCTAAAATCATTGAACAACTGTGAGCAAGCTTTTGAAGAGACTATAAACTTCATTAATAAATCAGTAAGGAGTCATTTCAGTTTCTCAGATATAACTTTAAGTCATAATCATTATTGAATATTACATTAACTACGACAGGAGATTTGAGAAGGAAGGAAATACCATTGTCTATAAAAAAAAGTACTTAGGATGATGGAAGAAAAAACTGCACTTATTATAGAAAGAAAACACAGACATTGATATGTCTGCTTTGAGAGTGACATGTATTCAGTATCACTTTATATAATCATCACATCAAGCATCCTCTTGAATCCCATTGTTTGGTGAATATGTTGCATAATAAACAAGTGATTTTTCCCCTTTCTCATCCAAAAACAACAAACACAGTGGCACACGTCTGCTGACCTGAGGCTCTATAAGACCTGAGCTCAACACGCAGGACATACATATGTGTTTTCACTTTTATCCATGGAGAAGTGGGTTTAGTTCAAAGATAAACCACCAAGTGATCTTATAAATTATTTAAATTATTTGGAAAGAAAAGGAACCAACAAACACAACCACAGCTACATCAGCTGGCATGGAAATATACGCCTCTCTAGAATGAGGTATGCCTCATCAATGAAGAACAGATGCTGCAGCTGCTTTGAAAAATAAGTTGCATAAGCCCTCTCCAGTGGCCTAATTTGGCATGTCTTCCATTATGATTAATACGCAAATAAGAGGAAACTCGTAATTAGTGCATACTAATCTTTTTGTAAGCGTCACAGCAGAACAAAATTATCATAACTTCTTATTTCAACCTTCACCTTCTCTGCCTTCAGCTTAGCAACATCAAAATAATTAACTGTGAAGCAGTTACACTCTTCCATTAAAACCCCTCTGGGCTTGTTGGTGAGCGGTAGATCATTCATTTTCATAATCTGAATAAAACAACACGGACAAATGGAATTCACGTTTCATTTATTTCAAGTGTTTCCATGTGAAGTGCATTATTTCATAATAAACATATGTAGCCGGAGGTTGTCTCCCTCCTTGCCACTATTCGGCACTGTGTTTGCTTTCCAACCACCGTGATTGCGGGGCGGGGCCATGCGCACCGTTATATTCAGGCGTGAGGCCGCGCCCCGTCCTCTCTTTCGCTCCTCGCTTGCTCCCGTGGTGGTTGTGGCGTGGCGTGTCAGCGTTGTTTGGCGTGCAGCGTTTGTTTGGTGCAGCCGTCCCGTGTTTGTGACCGCCGTCGAGGCACACAAATCTTCTCTACCCCACGCAGCTGACTGCTTGGTCCAGGGGAGGCGGGAGTGGCTCGCTGGAGCCTCGCTGTGTTCAGCTACTGGTCCGCTCTGGCCGTGTGTGTTTAAAGCTGCGTCCTGTGAGGCTCGCATTCGCTGGTTGTTTATGTTCGCTGTGCATGCCTGGCACCCCAGTGGCCTGTAACTCTGGCCATCACTGACCATCACTCCTGGAGCTGCGTTGCTGTTTTGGTTTTCATGTTCTAATTCTGTTTTGGTTATTCTGTTTTGGCTTTTCTGGTTTTGGTTCTTTTCTTTCTTTTCTTTTCTCTTCATTTTGGTGTTTGGTTTCCTGTTTAAAATTTGTTTGGTTTTTTTGTATTGGTTTGCTGTGGGGCGGACTACGCTTTGGCCCGACGCGGCTGGTTGCCGCTTGGACCTACTGACTGAGGTCCCATTGATTTAAGGGCTGTGCTGGGGCCTACATGATTGCCCCTGCCACCAACCATGATC